AGTTAGGCTATAGTTATGGGTTACATCCTGAGGAAGGTAAGTAGTTAGCCTACGGGATCCTCAACAAACCTGAATAAAGATTTCCTGTCCCCAGCAACAGAAATGATAATGCATTTGAAATGTTTGAGGAAGATTTTACTGGGGTTAATATCCACTGTATATAAGAAAAAATGCCTTTTCAGATACAAAAAAGGTATACAAACAGTTGTGAGTACAAGTAACAATTTTTTAAAGTAGTGGCAGGCATCAGCTAGTCTGCATACACATGGAGGGTTGCAGACGAGGAGTCACAATAACGTGGCTGAAATATGTTGACCAAACCACACACTAGAAAGTGAAGGGACGGCGACGTTTCGGTCCGTCCTGGACCATTCTCAAGTCGATTGTGACAATCAACTCAAGAATGGTCCAGGACGGACCGAAACGTCGTCGTCCCTTTACTTTCTAGTGTGTGGTTTGGTCAAAACATGGAAGGTTGTTCATCCTGTATGAGAGGTTCTACTTTAAATGAATAAGAACATTATTCCAATTTAAAGTATCAACATTACCAAGTACATATTGTGGTTTTAAATGGAAATGAATGAAAACGTTATTCCAAAGTAGAATCCATCGCACAAGACGAATATCTGTCCATGCATGTGCAGACTTGCCCATTACCTGTCGTTACTTTCAAAGGTGGTAACTTGTACTCAAAACTGTTTTTACGCTTCTTCAACAGAAAAAGCTTTTAAAAAGGCCCTTTCCTTACACCATCTCATTCACATTGCTAAAGCTTTGGTAGAAATTTGTAGCATTTTTGCCATATTTCACATTTATTACCAGATAATGTTATCAATATCCATATCTTTGTCTCTATCTCCTATTTTGAATGCACAATATATTGACACATTAATTAAAGAATGTAGTTATTAAATTGTAAATTGAATTACCAATTTATATTTACATGTTGCTAAATCATAATTGTATGTAAATACTGTACCTTAAATGCAGCACAAGGAAATTGCAAGAGCACCAGTAAATTAATAATGAGATGTTGTCTGCATGTTTAGTGTTGTGATCTACTTCACGACCACCAGAACCGCTCATTGGAAATGACAGCTTGAAGGTGGACCCATGCTTGGCGGTACAACCGTTCTCACCCACTCAAACGTCTCTCATATTACGTACTAAATATGTCGGTTGTGCTTGAGAACCACCATTATTACCAGCTGCAATACATTAAGAATCTTGCCACAAAGGAATTAAGATTGTCAGTTGTATGTACAGTATATACGTTCATCTTGGAGTCGTATATTGGGCCCTGTTGTGGTAAACATTTCTTGCCTTCATGAGAAGTAAGGTAATTACCAGTATGAGGGAAAAATGCCAAGCCAGTACGGCTATATAGAGAGGCTTAGAGAGTACGAGAGAATTTGGATTGCGCTATATTCCATGGACGTATTACAGTACTGTACCCCATTATGGTGGCTCCAAAGTGTTTCGTTGCCTTTGCATGTTCAGAACAGTTATAGACGACTGCAAATTGTGTTTACACATGGCCTGTGGGGGATGCTTTTTCCTCCAATAATAAGCTGCCCTCACACTTCACTCTTAATGTATGGTAGTTCTGCTCTCTTGAATTGATTGTATAACTAGAGGTAGAAAAATACATTGAAATAATCACATTAGTGTATATTGTACCACTGTCTACAACTGGTATTTTTCCTTGCAATGGTATTGTAGCATTTGTACACAAAAATTACATATTACTTATGCACAATGTTAAATCCTCTAACACAATTTATCTAAAGACCTTTTGGTAAATGCAAAAGTTCATTTCACATTGATGACATGGTATTAAAATAAGGCAATTATTTATGTTACAGCTCAATTTGTAAATACAGTAATTTATTTCTAAATTTTTGCATGTCACCTACTGTATATTGATGCATGCTGTATGCAGGTAGGTACAATTCCAGATAATTCCAATTTTCATCAGCTTTTGGGTAACCAATCACCATTTCTCTTAGTCATTTACTATGTATCTGGACACACCATAGGACTGAGACAATTCAAGTAACCCATCTGAGTAACTGATCACCATTCTTCAGTGGATGATGTGCCTATCCCTTGGGCGTGTTAAGGCCAATGCTGGATAGGCGATCATGCAGTCTCATCCTTGATTAAAGCAACCTCAAAAAGGCTAACAGGCTTCCTTTACCTTACAATGGTAAACCATACCACACTACATATGGTACAAGTAAATAAATAAATAATAATAATAACAATAATTTATAATTGCGTGCTAACCAAGTTGAAATACATTGATCTGGCAGGGGCCTTTGAGTATTTCACAGGTATTATAGTAGATACAAAAACTGTGGTGGATTTTGGTGCATTCATGGATCTGCAATGATGTTAGCAGTGCAGTCCGCCTTCTTGAATTGTCATGTCACAAAAATTATGTTCAGTACATAATTGCCCAAACCTAACCTAACTGATGGACCTCCACATAGAAAACGTGATTCTTTCTATGGAGAACCCCTTCGGCTCCCCGGAGCTATACCGGGCTGATGTGCATATATAAGTCCATGGCAACAGTCAATCGATGGAGTTCTTAGCCTACCAGGGACCATGAGCCAGAACCTGGCCCCCTCAGAGAGGCACGAGGAGCAATGGCCTATAGACACCCCCATGTAGTTGGAAGCAGTCTATGTCTGCCATCTACCAGGTCAGGCACCCAGAAAGGTAGGAATCTCAAAACAAATTACAGCTGGTGAAATTGCAAACCGAAAGTTGAACAAACAGGCAGAACTCCCCTATCAGAAAACAAACAAACAAGCATGATGTCACCACAGCCGCCGTGCCATTGTCTGCGCAACTCCCCTCTCCCCGGGAGGGGGAAGAGCCTTGGGTCGCAGATTGCAGCCAGTTGTCTCGACTTCAAGTTGAGGGCCGAGTGGCGGCCCGGGTAAAGTCTCTCTCTTTTCCTTTCTCTTTGGTTAGGAAGCTCTGGGGGGAGCCGAAGGGGCTCTCCACAGAAAACCAGCGTTGAATGTAATGAAATGCCATTTTCTGGGCAAGACCCGGAGGCTCCCCTGGCATCCCTCCCTCTCTCCGGTTGTCGGTTTTGCATTTTTGATATTCATCCTCTGAACTGAGGTTGGGTAGCCAGCATGAAGGGGTCTGGGGCTCCCCCTTTCCCCTCCTGGGGAGGGGGAAGTTGTGCAGACAGCAGTGCAGCGGCTGTGGTGACATCATACTTGTTTGCTTATTTTCTGATTGAGGCATTCTGCCTGCTCGTTCGGCTTTCGGTTTGCAATTCCACTAGCTGTAATTTGTTTTGAGATTCCTACCTTTCTGGGTGCCTGACCTGGTAGATGGGAGAGATAGACTGCTTCCAACTACATGGGGATGTCTATAGGCCATTGCTCCTCGTGCCTCTCTGAGGGGGCAAGGTTATGGCTCATGGTTCCTGATAGATTAAGAACTCCATTGATTGACTGTTGCCATGGACTAATATATGCACATCAGCCCGGTATAGCTCTGGGAAGCCTCTGGGTCTCTCCCAGAAAATGCGTTTCATTACATTCAATGCTGGTTTTTTGAGCTGCTATAATTATAGTACAATACATCATATTTTGTTTGTTGGGGATTTTGACAACAAAATACAATGTATTATTCAAGAGGAAGGGTTGAGTAGTAAGCCTGAGAGTAGCTGTGAGTTTAACAGACCAACCCACCAACCAGACTAAGTTACAGTAATGTCATCAATTACAACAACATAGGTAGTCACTCAGTCTAAGAGGTGTTCAGATACACTGTAGATGACTGTACACTGATCTCCAGCAGGATTATTTTTTCTTGCATGTTTTAGTGCGACTTTTTCAGGCTTGCATTGCAATTATGAATTCCTTGCAATATGAAACTTACTAATTACTCCTTGAATATAACTGCAAAGAAAATTTATGATTTTTTTGCAAGAAATGCAAGTTTTTCATTTACAGTAATTCATTTATTATACAAAACATTTAAAAAGTCAAAATTTAATATTTAATGAATTCTCTCATATTTCTGAAATCTGATAATAATTATATAATAATACTATAAATGAAATAGAATATTAATAACATATAAAGAAGATAAGCTATTGTGTCTAATAAAGTTCTTAAGAATAAGGTGATTAAATCACAGAATCATACAGTACTGTATGACACACGATACAGTAGCTCAAACTTTCTCCAGTATAAACCATGCTGACTATTATTTGTTTCTACTCATAACACATATTTTAATATTACACTTTCTTGCTTAACTTATTATATAATAAAAAGGCCGATCTTGATGTAAGTCCATATTGGAGATCTATTAAAACTCTTCTAATTGACTGTAATTATGATCTTCAATAGTGTGAATATAATTTTGGATATTGGATCATAGTAATTAAAATCCTGGTCACCATTTTTAAAAAGTTAAACACCTTGTCAATACATTGTCATACATCCTAGTACAGTACTGTACAGTTCATCACTACAGTACAGTAGATTAATAAAAATGTTAGTTTTACACATTTCAAGATTAATCATATTTTGAAATATCAGAGAAAAGTATTCTCAGCTTGTAAAAATATAAATGTTGATTAAATCTAGGGCTGAACATTTTAAGCTGTCTCGGTTAAAGAAAGCAACCCCCAAGTGTTCAATACTGCAAGTCAGTCCCTCTCTATCAATGACAAACATGTGTAGAATCTGTTGTTTTAACACACACAAATACTTTTGTGGTATTTTCTATATCGATTTCTTCATATATCACCATCCCAAGTGTAAGAGTATAAACCGAGTAGTTGAGCATAATATCAGGGCCATTTCCAGCAATGAATTTTCATTCAGAATTTATGTTCGGCATTTCTGTGTGTAAATAATAAAAAATCAGAACTATGACAAGAAGCATTTTCATGAAAATAAAGCCAAAGTTAATCAGCTACTGGACCACCACAAGTAATGATAGTTTTCTTCCCACAGCTTCACTACAAGTACAATCCCAATCTGGTCGGCGAGGAGGACCAGGAACTGGATGAGCATCTCCACCGCCGCCACCTCAATGCTCGTAGGATGACTCGTCTAGCAAGCTCATCTCGTCTTCCAAATTATAACAATCTTTCAGAAGATCCACAGCTACGTCGCAGGACAGGCGAGTGAAAATGAATAATGGCAATATTTAGATACATAAAAATTAAGTTCAACTTAAATGGTTAAAAGATTTGAACATCCCAGTTTATTGACCTATTCAATAAATAAAGAAGGTATTATTGAGAAGGGCCTTGGCACATTGTACCCAATTTAAATATTATTCACCTTTCCTTTAAAAAAATTTATGCAGGGTTTCTCTTGGAACCTACCTTGTCTTTTGCATTGGATGCCAGCTATTGTTTCTTTCATGACTTTTAGCATTTTGGTCCTTCACTTGCTTCTCATACAGTATGTGGGATGTCCATTGTTGGTGGGCATACCACCAACATGCACCATGACAACATGGGTGCTGTTGCATCTTCTGGTGTAAGAATGAGAATGGGCAAGACATTTTGGCTGTGGTTATGCACTTTGTGTGATATTTTTCCAGTGGATTTATGTCATGGCATCACCTGCCTATTTTGTAGCGCCTTACCTCCATCAACATGATTTTATGTTGGATATTGTTTCATCATTTGTTATTATGAGTTGCATTCTTTATTTCCTCCAATCCAGATGAGTAAGGAATTATCAAAACAAGGTGCCAAGCCAAGAAGACAACATCTGTGTCACCAGGTATTCAGAAGGCACTAAATATCACTCAAGATGTAAATACAAGAAGAAAAGGACAGTAAGAGAGCAATATCAAATTTATTGGATTGCTAAGGATTCTACCAAAGGACAAATGACCATTAGGGAGATTAGAAAAGCAAGACAAGCAATCATTTAAAAAATTGGAACATTCTACAAGGAGGTACACACCTTTAAGTGGGAGAATGCACTTCAAACAAAAGGAGTAGGAAGTTATTCTATTACGTGGCCATGAGTTAAGCAGGTGTGACCAGTATACAACCTAGCCAAAGCCATTTCTCATCATCTATTACAGTGGTAGGAGGAAGGCCATGGGAAAAGGAAACTTATAAAAACATGCAGTTTATTTCCTGTAAAACCAGCCAACACTCATAGTTTGCAGACTGAAAGACTTGGTAGAAATCTGAATAAGGAATCCCTCCGGGAAATGTTGCAAGCACAATTGGCCTCCTTAGCGATGGTGTCCGCAAGTTGATTTTAGGTAACCCCAGTATAGCTGGAATCTCGGCAAAATTCAACTGTCTTATATCTACTAAATATAAGAAACGGTCAGTATTGGATTTTGACCACCACAGGAGGCAAAGGGTTAAAGCTCCAGAGCCATGAGGGCACTGCACGAGTCAACCACATTGACAAAGGAACATTGATGCAGAGAAAGCAGCTGACGAAGAGCATACAAAATTGCATCATGTTCCACCGTGAAGATGCTAAGTCTCCAGGGACCCAGTCCAGATGACATTGCCTGTCATTTAGTAACTGTAGGATTTTGTGGGTGATGTAACCCCTCCATTCTGTCTTCTCTCTCTCTCCTGGGCTTTGATGGGTTTGCTGGAAGCTCATTTCCATATGTTTGTATTGGTAATACAGTATTTTTATTGAATTTTATCTCGGTTTGCATTTGTATAATAGAGTACTGTACTGTATTATCGTACTATACACACAAATTTAGCTTCCCAACATAACATGCACGGAGACAGACAATGAGTCACAATAACGTGGCTAAAATATGTTGACCAGACCACACACTAGAAAGTGAAGGGACAACGATGTTTCGGTCCGTCCTGGACCATTCTCAAGTCGATTGTGAACGACTTAAAACGTCGTCGTCCCTTCACTTTCTAGTGTGTGGTCTGGTCAACATGCAGGGAGACTGTATATCACACTGTAAGCAGTGTATTTGTTTCAATAATCTTCATAAGCTTTAACATTTAGACCAATGTCAATCACTGCAGTACTGTATTTGTTTTTTTTCTGGCTGAAAGTGGGGCCAGGAAAAAGAAAGTGGGGCATTTACCCGAAATTGTTTTCCGATTCATCAGATTTCAAATACTGAACTGATTTCAGCTTTAACAACGAACACTTTTCTGCCCTGTAATATAATTTCTACTCATATTTAACTACTGTTATACAATATTCACCATTTTGAAACTTTTAATTCAGAAATATGATAAAAAGGATTGGCTAATTTTTAACAATAACACTAATATCCTTAAAATTTTCAGGTCTAGATAATACAGATTTGCCACAAGGAGTGGCAGAGCTGGTGGAGCGCCACTTTGCTCGCCGCAGAACCATGTCATGCCACCATCGAGGTGTGCCGCCCTTACAAACCTGTCTGTCCTCACCCGAACCTGGAGCTACTTACCCTTCCACAATGCATATCCTACAAGCACTGCAAGAAGCTGTCGAACCAAGTTCTAGCCTTCCAGACATTAGAACCGAAGCTACCGAGGCTTTAACAGACAGAGCTCCGTCAGTGTTTTCCGATCCTGGTGGGCGTGGGGTTGAACTCAACAGAGATATAGAACTGGAAAGTCTAGAACCTTATATTACGACTGAGAATAGTAATGGCGATGAAGAAATACCTCTGGTAACCACTGTTCAAGAGGATTCAAGTGTTCAAAGCTCTAAGACTCCTAATAGAGATGATTTGGTTTAAATATAGAAATAAAGACAATTTAATTTGTAATATTAATAAGAAAACAAAACTTACTGCTGTTAGTGTGATACATTATGTAATTTATACTACATAATGTATTATGCAATATAAATTATGTATTATGTAATATAAATCTACATATATGAAATCTATCATATATCATGTTCAAAATGAAAATACATAGTAAAGCAATTTCTGTGATTTTTTTTAATATATATATGAAGAAAGATGAGGTTATGATGGATTTGTACTTACCTAAATGTGCTTCAGGGTTACTATGAAGATAATATCACTATACAAGATAACTCCTACACTTACTTATGATGTAAGTCATGACTTACCTTGTCAAGTAACTCCTGGCAAGGTAAGTCATACACCTTTGTATGCACTGAAGTGGATGTAGGTCCATTTATTTTTTCCAATAGGGGCAGGGGAGAGGAGGGGGTTGTATGGGGAGTGAATGGGTCGAATGAAATCTCTAATGAAACGAGTCGGCCTCGCCCCCTTATAGCTTGTTTATGCAAGGACACTGTAACAGTGAAAATAGGCTTGTAGAAAAAAGAAGAGTAAGAATAATGATATACATATTATATGATGAAATTGGTCTCCAAACTATCGCTTGTAATGACATGTAATGAGCTGTATAATCCTTAAGACTGTACTTCTTAAGCAAATTTTGGAAAATGCCGTATTGTGACATTTGATAATTTGCTTGGTGTGGATAAAGACCTTAGTGACCCATCAGTGAACTAAGTACAGTAATACCTGTATATCTTGCACCCATTGTGATATTTCCTTTGATAAACAATTTAATTTTGTATACTACAGTATATCTCAAATATTTATAATTATATTTTTATTGTTAGAGAGTTTTAGATAGAGATACAGTATTTGAGTCTGCTAATTAACATATAAATTCAGTGTAAATAACGCTCTAGCCTTAAAAACACTATACAGTACTTCACGTATGTAATTTTTTACATTAAAGAACTTAATTATATTTTTAACATTAAAATAGTTATAATTATGTAGTGTGTTTGCTGGGAAGTACTTCGTAATGCTTTAGCAAATCACCCTTTTAGTGATAATTTGTATTCCAAGTACCAGTACCTGCACCTGTATAATTATTTATACAACTGCAGGCTACTATTTAACATATTTCATTCCTTGTATGTAATTTACCCCATGTGTATAGTATGCTGTTTAGTTTGGTTTTTCAGTTCTGGTTTAATAAAGTTATGACTGTAGAGCTGACACAACAAATACTGAGAGGATATGTGACCAAACTACTATACTCTGAAAGGGCATTAACCTTTTTTGCTGTTAATGTTACAATCATATGACAAAGAAAAACCTTTATTCTTGAGAATCGGAATTTTACCAAAACCCTAAAAAAAGTGTTCACGACCTAGTGGAATATGACCGAACATCTGGTAATCAATACGGGGGGTTGGACCTGGTATGTGCAGCCATCTGGGTGGGGAGGTTCATTATACAAGTAAACATTATACAATGCTGTAGCTCCAGTTAAGCTAAGAATACCTCCCACACACCTCGCATCTGTTACAAATAATCAGTGTAATTTAAGATGTCATGTTCTGTTTATTTAAACTTTGAGATTGCTCTGTTTTTCTCTAGTTATGTTAAATGTTTTCTTGTTCAAGACTCAGCCACCATATCTTATTAGAAATGTATAACAATAAGAAAATAACTATGCCTTTTTTTTCTCTATATTAATTTGTGTTAAGTCTAAAATACTTAAAATTCCTCTGAGTATGTTTATATGTTTTATATATGATATCCTTTGTATTGAGAACACTTTTCATGGTACAGAACCGAGTTTCTTGGAACATTTTTTATATTGAATAACCAGATGGGACTCCCAGCTGTGCCCGGGAACACTTATGGCCTTATATTGAGCTACATGGACAACAAGTGTCTTATTGAGCAGTTGGTTTTCAAACTAGAAAAACAAAGAAAATTATTTATCCCTATTTCAGCTCTGTGGTCATCAAACCAAACCTGAAATTTGACAGCAACGGGTTAAGGGCAGTTAATGAGTAAAATATTACATAAATATGTTCACATGTTATTAGTGCTGTAATTATAAAAAATATAAACTATGTAAAAATGTAATCACACTTGTAACTTTTATATATAAAATATTATTATTATTATTGTATTATTTCATACCAGTATAGAGGTACAGTATCATACTTCGTACGCATTGTCCACTATAAGTTAAACAGTCCCCATGACAAAGTGGTAAGACACTCGCTTGGCGTTTCACGAGCGCATTGGCCTGGGTTTGTATCTTGGCCGGGGAAGATTTACTGGGCACCAATCCTTAACTGTAACCTCTGTTTACCCAACAGTAAAATGGGTACTTTGGTTGTTAAATGATTTAAATGATTTGGTGGGTCGTATTCTGGGTAATATTAGGATTAAGGACTTGCACGAAACACTATGCATGCTAATGGTTGTACAAGAATGTAAGAACTCTTGTATATATATAAATAAATACAAAAATATACCACTGTACTTATATATATATATATATATATATATATATATATATATATATATATATATATATATATATATATATATATATATATATATATATATATATATATATATATATATATATATATATATATATATATATATATATATATATATATATATATATATATATATATATATATATATGTATGTTCTTTACTTGGTTTCCTGTTGTCAGGGTACCAGAAGCTTGTATTTAAGCTTATTGAGGTACTGTTCTTAGGCTTGATCAAGTACTGACCTTTTCCAGGAAGCAACCTACAAGAGTTGTCTAACTCTTGAGTACCTACTTACTGCTAGGTGGACAGGCATCAGGAATAAACAAGTTCTTGATGCCCGAAATGCTGTGTGTATTAGTGACTTTAGGCATAGTATATACTAGCTCTATCTAGAAATCCAACATTCTGTTTGTAACTCATTTTGTGTGTATGTACTTTTACCTGAATAAACATTTATTTATTTATTTATTTATTAATATTTATTTATAAATAAGTACAAGGCAAAAGGTAACCTATGGAAAAAATTAAAGTATAGCTTAAAAAGAGTAGAATACTCCAATATTCTATTCAACCCATTTACCTTAATTTACTGTTGCTCCTTGTTTAGAAGTTTGTGTTAAATCTGACCTTTTAAAGAAGTAGTCTGGATCAATACCTCCAAATTGTTCAGCATTTTAAAAGTTTCAACGAGATCAGCCCTGACAAGAATAAAATATTGCCAAATCACAACAGCAACCATAACGTCTCACTCCATAGGTGATTAAGAACAATATTTTGAATATGAAGTACAATGAAGCGCCTAACCAGAGGCTGCCATCTCCCGTTACAAACCAGCATTCAACAGTAGCACTCTATGATACATCCAGCACAACTTGCCACATCTTGTCACATTCTGTCGAAACCTGTCGCAACTTGTCAATGTTCTCATGCTATTTATCACCAGCTTTTATAACCAAGTTATTTACCTGAGAGTCCCACTGGATAAGGGAGTACCTAAGCAATAGAAGACAGCAAGTCAAGTCAGGGAGAGGTCTCGGAGTGGCGAGGCGTCACCAGTGGAGTCCCTCAGGGATCAATCCTTGGACCTATACTGTTTCTGATATATGTAAATGATCTCCCAGAGCATATAGACTCGTTCCTCTCAATGTTTGCTGATGATGCAAAAATTATCAGGAGGATTAAGACAGAAGAAAATAGTATAAGGCTACAAGATGACCTAGACAAACTGAAGGAATGGTCCAACAAATGGCTACTAAAGTAGTTATTTGTCAGGACAGTACTCTGTCTTGACAGAGTACTGAGCCTGAGCCAGTACTGAGCCAGCTTCATTGAAGGTTGTAACAGAACCCATGAGCACCACACCAGAAACAAATACCTTCTTGATATTCCACGAGTACGACTTAGTCAAACTAGAAATGTTCTACAAATCAAGGGACCCAGAATGTGGAATGACCTTCCCAACCATGTTAAAGACTGTACCTCTCTCAACCAGTTTAAGATAAAAACTAAGCACTACCTAATTAACTCCCTGTAACCTACCTTACCCCTATAATGTCAACCCATGTCTGTTATTTTTAAACAATGCTGTTTGTCGACCAAATTGTATTTTTGTTATTTTTCTGCCATGTTCCCCCCTATTTTATTTTTTATTTTCTCAACACATTTTGTATTTTAATCTCAATTAGTATTAAGTTTTAGTCTTAGTGTTTTTCCTGCCCGAAACGTTTTGCGTAATAGTGGCTTTAGGCATTGTATGTACTAGCTCTATCTATAAATCCATCAATGTTTGTATCACACCTTGTATGTATGTACTTTACCTGAATAAACATTTGAATTTGAATTTGAATTTGAATACTATGAAGAGGTGAGCACGAGAAGGGGTGGGGAGGAATTTACCGCCATCTAGGACCGTAAATATAAACAAACTTGGTGCCAAACAGGATTATTTCCACATATTTACTTTACCACCTTTATATGGCAGCTGGGCTATTTTGAGAGGGATTTGTTAAGAGGTAATGATTAATTCTGCCGTGTTATATTGGTGTGGTAGCGGTATATGAAGAAGTACTTAGCAGTACATGTTAGAGACGAGTAGACAGTGGCAACTCAGTAAAGTACTGTCAGGGGCGAGGTGTGGACGTTCGCACGTGTCTCCTGGTGCTGTCTATTGTTGTGTTGGAACACAAGAATATTGTGTTCCAACAGTAACACTGACCGCTCCTGTGCCAGGTAAGTACACTACAAGCTCACTTGCAACTTTTTGTCCCGAGTAGCTGCATCTAAAACAACAACATTTGCAGGTAAAGTCACAATAACGTGGCTGAAAAATGTTGACCAAACCACATACTAGAAATTGAAGGGACGACGACGTTTCAGTTCGTCCTGGACCATTCTCAAGTAGATTGTAGAATTCCAATTCTGGAACACTTTGTTCCAGGATTATATCACAATCGACTCGATAAAAGTACCAGGACGAACCGAATCGTTGTCGTATCTTCAATTTCTAGTGTGTGGTTTGGTCAGCAGTAACATTTTGTTTGGGTGAGAGTCCTAGCCAAGGAAGAGTGACTAGGTGGCTTAGCTGTTTGCCTATGTTCGTCCAGCAGTAATTGGGGTACCTGGTTGTTAACCGACTGGCAGGTTGTTCGTCCAGCAGTAATTGGGGTACCTGGTTGTTAACCGACTGGCAGGTTGTTCGTCCAGCAGTAATTGGTTACCTGGTTGTTAACCAACTGGCAGGTTCTATGGCCAGCAGTAATTGGTTACCTGGTTGTTAACCGACTGGCAGGTTGTTCGTCCAGCAGTAATTGGGTACCTGGTTGTTAACCAATTGGCAGGTTGTGTTCCAGGGAAAAGTTTCCCTTGGAAAATAACTGTACCCACTAGTTTTCCCCAAAAACTAGTAGGTATGGTTTACAATGAGCTATGGGAAAGGGAAAGCTTTCAGCCTGCTAATAAAAGTCTGAAATTATTTTAAGACTCCTATTATCAGGCTCTTATTTCAGACTATTAATCCATGGAAAAAAGTATATCATCGGCTGAAAAGTGTGCTTAAATATCTGTTCTGAATGGGAATCGAATCCAGGACTTAAGGTGTGAACACTGACCTATACTACAGGAGCCTTGGAATGAGGGTAATTCCTACAGTCCCTCCCCTACCCTTTCTCTTGCTTTCTCTAGTCCAGCCACTTGACTGGACTGAATGGTAGAGCAACGGTCTCGCTTCATGCAGGTCAGCGTTCAATTCCCGACCGTCCAAGTGGTTGGGCTCTATTCCTTTCCCCCTGTCCCATCCCAAATCCTTATCCTGACCCCTTCCAAGTGCTATAAAGCCGTAATGGCATGGCACTTTCCCCTGATAATTAAAAAAAAATTGCTTTCTCTAGTAATGCAGCACCAAGACTGTTGATAGGGTTTAAACACCCCTCTCACACAGGTTGCAGGAAAGACATTATAAAAGTTTATTAAGCTAGTAGTGGCAATTGTAGCAATAAGGTTTCCTTGGTTCAAACACAACCTTTTCATGGTGAAAGCCAATGCATGCTCTGATCTGGGAAGTTGTCAGGTGTAGATTGTGAAATGTCTTCTGGCCGAAGAATAAGAAATGAACCGTTACATCAGCTAATGATAAGCTCTCTGATCCTGTTAGGCCACAGGGACATCCCTTCCTGTCTGAATACATTTTCTGGATAGTTTAACAGATTTGTAAACCTTGTGCATAGTATGATTATAGTGATAATCACATCACCTAGTATGCAAAGCAGTTGGAAGGGGGAAAGAGTAATTATCATATTGAGAATTTTTCCTTTTTTTTTTTATAGTTTTTGATTGTGCGAATCTTTTACTTAATTGAATCGGTAACATTTAAAAAAGTGTGAAAGATACATATGCTCTGTATTTATGTTCCAAGTGAAGTAACTCATAATAGGTAGGAGATGAATTGTTAGACATAACAAAATTTGATATCTTGAAGCTTTATCATCTGAATATGCACAATTTAAATTGATACATTTTTTGTAATTTTGTGTGTTCGAGAAAGCATTGGCAGTCACTAAATATAAATTTGACATTGCTCTTGGACAGAGGTGGCCATCGGAAGTCACTTGATGAATCGCCTCCACTGCGATGATGAGTAGAAACATCACTCTGTTTTGTATGGTATGAAACTGCTTGTGTATGTAATCTCTCTTCCCCTCCCCTTCTCTCTGAACATAAAACAAATCCTAACGGAGATATAGAGGAGCACAAAGTAGAGTGAGCTTTATTAGAATGTAATCTCTCTTCCCCTCCCCTTCTCTCTGAACATAAAACAAATCCTAACGGAGATATAGAGGAGCACAAAGTAGAGTGAGCTTTATTAGAACCGACACTGCACCTGTATGATCATCAAATTGATCAGATTTAATACAGCCATTACAAGCAAAATTAGAATTTCCTGTAGTCTGCACTTCACTTGGTGTTTCTGTGAATCGGTGTTGTATTTTGTTATTCAACGTACATTAGTAGTGTTTGAAATTCATGCATTTGTACAGTAATTACAACATATTCATCTGTTTTCTTATACAGTACTTCAGGCTTTGCTAATATAATACTGTATTTGTAACAAATAAGGCTGGAAAATTGTAGTTGGTTGGTTTTGTAATATACACCTATTTTTTTATTCTGGGGTTTGTTGGCTTTTTTTGTATCAGAGGTGGTGATTGGAATTTTTCCCTAAAATGTTAATATATCTGCGCACTCCCTGCTGAGTGTTACATATACCATAGTGTTAATTTTGACCTCTGTTGGCTTGCTAGAGGCAAGCGGGAAATGTTTTGTCCCTTACGTACCAGTGAATGGAGGGTTTAAAGCAGTGCATCAAGATTAATTTTTAATGCAGTACAGTATGAAGGTTTGATAAACAGTGAAGAATTCTGTAAAAATTTACATTACATAGAGCCAGTAATACAGTGCATTTGCCTTGAAAATTAAAACTTGCATATGTTATTTATGTTTAGTGTACTGTATATTGTATATGTATGAAAATGTACAGTGGTTGTGTAATTACAAATTTTAGTAATTAAATAGTGATACATGATTTTGCAATAACAAATACAGTATGCATATCTTAACAGAATTTGCTACAGTTTGTATTTGTCCCAAGCAAGGTATTCACTGCATAGACACGATGGATTTTGGAGCACAGCATAAATACTTAAATGGTTGGAAATGTGTAGAAATGGCTCAGAGGTTTATGACGAAACAGTGCAGCCACATAGTTTCACCTCAGATCAAGTGTGTGCACTCGTGAGCTCAGCCACCATTTAGGATTATTTTTCTTGCATTGTTGAAAATTAGAAGATGGGGAAACCTCGTTCAAATTTAGAAATGGAGTGACAAAATTCTCATTGAACAACAAACTGATAACATTGGCCAGTGTGGTTCCCAGATCACTAGGAAAGTTAATGAAATTAAAGTTTCAATATATAATTCCCCCTGTCAGGGACAGGAAGCCTGTAATGTACCTAAGGTTATTGATGTTCTCACGGGTCCACTACTGATCACTCCCAGGATGAAACCCACAACAGTTGCCCAACTCTGAAGTACTTGCATTCTGCTAGGTGAACAGAAGCACCAGGTGACTGGAAACTTGATCAACCATTTCTGTCTCGCCCAGGAATTGAATCCCAGATTCTCGATTATGAGTTGGAAATGGGCCACTGTACAAGATCTTTAAATGGTTGAACTATCTCAAAATAAATATTAAAACAATTAGGCAGTTTGGTTTTCGAATGAGATGATCATTTATTTCAAATTTACCTCTTTCTAGAGCGATATTTTACAGCTTAATCAGACTATTTGGACCCAAGAGATGAATGTGTAAATTCAGTCAGGGCAGCAACTTTTGTATTTGCATTAATTATGCATATAACTAATAGCTTAATAGACGTTATATATTTTCAGGGTCTTGCCTTCATTGCAGTGTTTATGCCTATACTGTTGACTACTGGGAGGCATCTATTAAGCAGTATGGCAGCAACAGTGAGCTACGTTGCAGGCACTCACTCCATGGCCTTCGTTACTGCTCCCTCACAGGAGGTTGCCAAAAAGATTGCCAGGTAAATGTGGTTTGGCATACTCCACCTAAATACTTGATGTCTTGGTTTACATATTAATGGGTGGCTACATGTAGGATTCTTAAACACTTTGAGTTGACTTCCTCTATTGTTTTGTACTCAGTACTGTACTTCAACTCTTTAATGGATGGAAAGTACAAAGTTTGGAAAAGACTTGCAAAAAGTTTTTTGTAAAATTGACCTTGTGAATGTGAATTTTTTATTTGACAAAGTATTTGATGAATGTACAGATCAAGATATCTGACTATCAAAGGGTTCAATTGACAGATTCTAAAAAATAAAAATTTTAAATGCAATAATAGACCATATTTGTTTCAAGACTGGTTTTGTTAAAAGCATATTATAATATGGAAATGGGAAATTCATTTTTAGAGGGAATGTCTGGATTATTTTATTATAAAAATTATTATTCAGAATTATAAAAAAATGCTTTCATAACACTAACAAGATGGGAATTTTTTCCCACATTGTAATGATATTTTATTTATTAACAACAGTGGACTGGTGAAGAACAAGCTGGCAGCCTGTGTGAATATTATACCTAACGTTGTCTCTGTGTAAGTATGCCGTGATAATATATATCTTAAATTGTGTTGGGAACAAGCTGTAGAATACGGAATTAGCTCAACAGCAAGAGTGAAGAGATGCTCAAACCGTCTCGGAGATGATTTGGGCATATTGAACGCATGGATGATGGTAGCTTGGAAAAGTTATTGGTATTAACAGTAAATGTGAGAATAGGAGAGGAAACCCAGGACATTGGGCAGACATGGTGAGAAGAGGCATTTATAAAGTGTAAACAAGGCTGGATGGAAGAAGTTTACAAGAAAGGAGTGAACATGTTTTTCACTGTACTGTATATGACAATTGGCATGGAGCTTTGCATATCTGTGGTTATGTGCAATAACCAGCGGGGGTGCATTGCTATTATTGTGGTGCAAGTATTATGAATAGTTTAGTAGTATTTTCTGTTTAATATAAAGATATTTTCAATATTCATGTTTATCTCACCTCCATGAAAATTAGATATTGGACATATAATTATCAATAATTTGTGAGATTAGCATTTTACACTTATTTGCAGGTATGAATGGAAAGAAGAAATCAATGAGGATTCAGAGGTGCTGATGGTAAGCGATTCTCGTCTTGTAGTATATAATATAGATTAGCTTGAGGTGTAAAAACATTGGTATCACTAATACTTCTTGCCTTGCAGTAAATATTCATGTTGCCCCTTTCAAATGATGCAGGGTAAAAATTGTCTATATTTTGTGTGGAGTTGCCAGATGTATCAAACTCTAACTGGATCAGATGTTGTACATTTATGGTTGCAGATTCAAAGATTTTTGTCACCCTGTCTTGTATCGTTTGGTGTTGGCTGTAATCTTTAGTGATATATTGTAATTGGAGTCATAGTACTGAAGATAATGTTCCAAATAATCATTATGAATAATTGGAAAAAATGGCATTCCTATTGTTTAACCCAAATTTATTTAGGATATTTGAGCTGTACTTTCTATTTTATATATCTTAAGATAATCTTGAGATGATTTCGGGACTTAGTGTCCCCGTGGCCCGGTCCTCGACCAGGCCTTTTTGTTACACACCTACCAGGAAGCAGCCCGTAGCGGCTATCTAATTACCAGGTACCTATTTACTGCTAGGTAACAGGAGCATCAGGGTGAAAGAAAGTACCCATTTGTCTCCGCCTCCACCGGGGATCGAACCCGGAACCTCAGCACTACAACTCCGAAGCGCTGTCCACTCGGCTGTCAGGCGCCCATTTATTTGGTACATATATACAGTACATTTATTTGATAATATCAAGCTGGTAGTAGCAATGGGTTTACTCGGGGATCTTTAAAGTACTGTACTATATTTTAAAAGCGTTATGGTGTAGTTTTGAGTTTTAAAGAATTTCAGATTGAATAAAAAATTTTTTTTGGCTAAATCACATTATGTAATGCGGTCAAATTTAGTATGATGGGAGAGTCTGGTAAACACTGGCAAATAAATAAATCAATATGTAGTGAGAGAGATGGAAAGATATGAAAGCTGTTCCAGAGTATTTAAAGTAAAAAAAAACTTGGCCAAGTAGTCTCTTGTAGAAAATTCTGAAACAAAAGTACATTGTCTTTTTTTAATAAGTGGAGTAGAATAAGGTTAATAGACAAGAAATTAGCATCAGAGTTTAGTGTTGGTTTAAGACTTCTTGCTGTATGACAGAAATGTAAAACACAGTTACAAAATGTGGAAAAAATATTGTGGTAAAAGTTTGGATAAGGAATTTGCATCAAATAGCTACCATGTTAACATAGAATTGACTGATTGGAAACATTTATGAAGTGTTCGCTAAATTGCAAGAATTAAAACATTTGATGAACATCATTGGAGGACTATTACAGCTCAAATTTTTGCCTGGACAGGTCCTGAGAGTTCAAGCTCCTTGAAAGGGTTACTGGTGTCAATAATGTTAACCCATCATTTTCTAGCCTTTCACTCTTACACCCTGCTGCAGGAATAATAGTGTTGGCCTCCAAAACAAGGTCAATAAACATATCTGAAATATGTGCAGTAGTATGTGGTTATCATACAGCCATTTCTTAGAAACGTTCTATTTTGCTCATCAATAAAAGAATACTGTATAGGTAATTAAGTCCTTGAGCCAGTTCTCCAAATTTTGGAGCTGAATACCAAATTATGAGACTGTCACTGTTGAAGACTTGATAAAATGGAGTGAATGTACTACAGTACTACTATAGTGAATGTACTGTAGTAGCAAGTGTACTAGTAGTATGTACTATGGTAAATGTACTAATTACTGTAATTAAATTTCTGGCGGACACCCTTCTTTTTCTATAGTAACTTTGTGCTAAGTGACATCATAGTTTGAGTGCTAAACCCTGGGACTAAATTGAAGCAACCAACCAACAAAGGCAATCCAGTCCAAACTAGTAGCCAATTTCTGATAAGTTGACATTTAGGTATTGAACCTAGAATGTTGATCATGTGATAAAAGAAAATTGTTCTGACATGTGGTTGATTGCCACAATTGGTTTTAGTCCCTCATAGTGGTCTAATTTGGTCTGCCTCATGATCTATTGTGCTTAAGGTAGAATACAGTTTCAAGAAATGTACTGAATGTTGTATTTCGACATCAGATGATCAAGACTCGAACATCTCGCCTGGAGGAGTTGACAAAGTTTGTGCGAGAAAATCACCCATATGACGTATGTGAAGTTATATCATCTCAGGTGAGTTAGCCTTTGCAAATGCAGTACAGTATTCATTTCTTGGCTCATGGATTATTAAAGTAGTTTTGTGGGATACTTAGTTCATTGTAACATTATAGTATTTGAGTTGAAGCACAATGTGTATTGTACAGTATAAGAATTTTTTTTTATCCAGATTGACCAGGGAAACCAGCCATATTTGGATTGGATTAGTAGCATTGTGCCGGACAAGACTCCCCCTGTGTGACTTTCGCAAGATCTGGCACTGGCAATGAGTGCATGAAGAAAGGAAGAATGTACACTGACCTAAAAAAACGATGAAATGATGGTTTAGGAACATTTATTTGTTTAAAGAGATGTGCTTATTGAATATTTATTTTAAAGATATTGTTGAATTTTTGATGCGCTGTGTATAATTTGGTTTTTTATATACCAAAAGATGGAACAAATTAAGTACAGTAAGAGTTTTGGTGTGGAATTTCTGTTAATAATTTGTTTTATAATAGTGTTGAAAATGTTAATGATTTTAAATTAGTTTTTTCCTATATTTGTAAGATATATATATATATATATATATATATATATATATATATATATATATATATATATATATATATAATATTTCTCAGCATCACAGTCACTTAAACTCAATGAAAACATTTAATTTGGTTTGTACATTTGTTGTTTACTGTCCTGTGTAGGAAGCTGTAGGCCCAATTTATTACTTTTTCCATAATTATAATTCAGAAATATGTAAAACAATAACTTTTGTAGTATCTTAGTGTCCCCAATCATCTTGTCTTTATACCTTCCTGAATATGAAGGGTCGTGTGAATATTATTATATAACCTTACTGGCTTAGTGTTGTTGGTGATTATACATTCTTTCTCATGCTCATCAGTGCCTAGTTCAGTTTCTAGCTTGCTTGCATGTTTTAAATTTGATTACTTATTGGAAAAACTTTTTCTGAATTAGTACCATCATGTTCTCCTAACTGATGCTCCAAATTCCGTACTGTACATTTGGTTAAAACGTTACCAAGTTTAGTTTTCTCTCGCTGCCTGGCTGAGGCCAGGATTTTTAAGCGATCGCCTGCGGCCAGTGATAAGGCTATTGCATGATTTGACCCACATAGCCAAAGCAATCCAGATCATGCAGCTTCTGCATGAACTTACCATCTGATGATATATTGTTGCTGGTAAGAAAATAGTTGTGATCGTTGCATTGTTTCCATCGGGTATATTTTGCAACTTCGTTGTATCTTGCTCCGGTAGTTATATAATTTTGCAGATCATGAATAGTACCTTTTACAGTACTGTATTAAATATATTATTAGAGAGGAGGCTCTTGTATTTGTAGGTCAAAGTCAAATTGCATTATATAGGCCATAAAGTTGTATAAGATGTTCTTATTCACTAGTCAATATTTATGTATCCATAGATTTGGCCTTAATGTTTCAGCAAAACAATTTCCTATATGGTAGGGTAATGCAACATTGCATTACCCTACCATATAGGAAACATTGCATTGCCACTTAACTAGCTCTGCAAACTGAAAAGTATTTTACAAGATAATTAGTTTTCAAGTCAAATTTTGCTATAGATATGTCATTTTTAGTGTTCACCTCATTTTGTATGAAAGTGGCTTCTATACAGGATCAGAGTATATTTATTCAACAAGTCATCTGAACTATTCCAAAATAGTTTTCTTTTGATAATTACTTGCTGAACTGTTCCTAGAGCATAGGTGTGTAACTAAAAGATTCTGAACAAGGTACCACACAGAAAGATGTCTTCTGCTCTACTTTATTATCATCCATGTGTTGCTAAACTGGGTACTTAGGGAAACCTAATGAATGTATTATATTAGTTTTGCTGATATAATGATCCATAATGTTGGATAGACTAAAGGCCAAAATATTTTTAAACATGTGTTACAGATATCATAAATAAGAGTCATGATGGCAGAGAAAACATAATGAATTGGTGTTCTCCCACACTGGAAGGTGCAGTTTGTAACATACAACTATCGGTAGGTCTTGGCTTGACCGTATAAACATATCGATACAATCTTGATCTTGTATGGTTGTGTTTGTAACCAAACTGTCATCGATATAAAAGTGCAAACGTTCTTATTGCCAAAACTTATTTCATGTATATTAGATATTTAGTTAACTATGGTGCATGTTTGCTTGGTCTGAAAGAATGCTTGCAAGACCAGAACACAAATGCTCTTCTTTGGATGTTTCAATACTACAAAGTTCCTTATCCATTCGACTTTGAATTACAATCAGGGATGTGATCACTTTTATTCCTTAAATTGTAAGTTATAATTAGGGATGTTTTTAAAGTACCATGTAAGATTTAAAACTTGCTTCTGTACATTGGGCTCACATCTGCTTCTTCAGGTCTCTAGTAAACAGATTTATCTTGGGAAAAAAAATTGTGGGCCTCCGTCCTGGGTGTAAAGAGGCTCGGTACCAAGATGGCAACCGTGAGTACTGTGTGCAGCAGCAGCAGCTCGCAGCACTGTCATTTCAGCTCGTGCTCACAGTATCACTTAAACAAGATTTTACAATTATTATTTCATTTATTAATAGTTACACAAAAGACCCTGATGGTATAAGACTATGTACAAGGTTCAGAAATTCAGACAGCCACAGCACACAGCTGAGGTTTGATGCATTTATGCATCATGCAACAAGACCTCGTGTTACTTTTAAAAAATGAAAGTGAAAAGGATTCATATTCAGGATTTAGTGATGAGAATTATTATTCCAATAAAATTCTCATCACTAAATCTTATTGGATTTAGTGATGAGAATTTTGGCTAGAGTTATCTTGAGATGATTTCGGGGCTTTTTAGTGTCCCCGCGGCCCGGTCCTCGACCAGGCCTCCACCCCCAGGAAGCAGCCCGTGACAGCTGACTAACTCTCAAGTACCTATTTACTGCTAGGTAACAGGGGCATTTAGGGTGAAAGAAACTTTGCCCATTTGTTTCTGCCTCGTGTGGGAATCGAACCCGCGCCACAGAATTACGAGTCCTGCTCGCTATCCACCAGGCTACGAGGCCCCTCAAAGAGTTAGTGATATCCATAATCTATCGGGCAGCACTTTGGTTTGCCTGAGATAGACTATGGACATCTACTTACTACTTGGCCTTCCCGGCTTGGTGTCTTTTTTGATGATTACTGTACTTACTTCCCAGGTGCCCTCAACAAATGATGAATCTGTGTGACTATGCTGTACATGAATCAATGGTTACGATATCACTCTACATAAACGTATAGATAGTTACATATCACAAGTGAATATAGTATAACAGGAAAAATGGTTTTATTGTTCTGATATTGTGGCTAGGGAAATTCTCTAAAAACCCATGGCCATCTTTTAGAACTTTCTATCCTTTATTTGTCCATCTCTGGTGAATAACATTGTGACTGATTCTGTCTCTTGCCAGAGGTAGCCCCCCCTCAGTGCTGTATAATTGAAGAGTATTGGCCTAGATTATAACATGCAGTAGGAAAGAACAAGGAGGTGGAATACATTAAAGTTTTACTATACAAACTTATTATAAAAAACATATACATGGTAAATTTTAGTGTTATTTACAGATAAAACAAATAGTCAAAAGTCACACTCGAATAGGATTATAATAATTGCCACTCGCTGGTTTATATACATGTTTCTTCTGTTATTGGTAACAAACTGCGTACTCTTAAGAGTCGTGTGTCCCAGTGGCCTTCCTCCTACCACCGTAACCGGAGGTGGGAAACGGCTCTGGCTTGGTTGAGTATTGGCCATACCTGTTTAATTCGCGGTCACTTAATGGAGCACTGCCTTGCTCCTTATTGTCCAAATTGCATTGTCCCTCTTACGGTCGTGCATATCCTTGTTGAATGTCCTGACTTCCAGGACGAGCGTGTGTCTTGTTTTCTGACCGTCCCCCGCGGTCGCTTGTCCCTCGATAGAATTCTTAGCGACTCGGATACTTTTGATATCATTCGCCTTATGCATTTCTGTTCTCGTATTGGCATCCTTGGTGATATTTAGCGCCCTCTGATTATCCCGCACATTTGATGGTGTTACATAGCCTTCCCGGTTTGGTGCCTTCTTTTGATAATTACTTATATTCATGTTGAATTAGACATGGTACCTAGCTGTGCCAGTCTCTCTTACCCTCCCCTTTCCCTCCTCCTATCTCCATTCCTCCTTTCTTTCATCTTGTCTCCTCTCCTTCATCTCCTTGTCTCTTCTCCTTCATCACTCTGCCTCTTCCCACCCTCTACCTCTTCCCACCCTCTACCTCTTCCCACCCTCTCAAAAATATTAAGAACACCTGAAAACATTAAAAATCAAATCACTGATATCAGTCATCATGAAAATCAAGAGGGTCATGACGAGCTAATGTTTCTTAAATGGTGGCAGTGGGGCCTACCCTGACTGGCCTATGACACTCTCATACCACCCATGTGTCTTCTTGAAAAGTTTAGTGAGGCTAGTAGTCCTCAAGTGTCGTGCTTCCAACCTTGGACACTGATATTCTCTCATGGTTACATGTATTGATAAACGGATTTAATGTACAAAATGATATGTTGTAGCCCCCGCAAAATAATACATTTTACACTATTAGGCATAAAGATCATAACAAAGACTAACCATAAACCTAACCTTCTTAGGCCTAAATAAACAATTGTAGGCTTTGTTTAGTGCCTATATATTGAATTGGCCTAATGCACTGTTATCAGTTATGTTGTATCAAATGGCATGATATACTGTACTTTGAGATCTTAATGACTTCGTTCATTCGCGAATATTGGAAGATATTCCCTTATACTTTACAGAAAGTTTGGTAATGCAGGGCTAGTGTACTAGACTTGTAGTTACACTTATGACTGATCATCCTGCGATATATTTGATGAATTGATAGCTATTCCTTGATTCATGCTGTGTAATCATTAATATGAAATGTGTGTTGCCTAACCTTGTATGTAAAAGAGTTGCCACTCGCCAACAAGCCTGCCGCCGCAGAAGGCACATACGTTGACCTTTTAACAGTAATTTGTGTCCATCCACACCGTGTTACAGTAGTGGTTTACCAGGCAAAAACATTTGCATTACGTAGGACTGGGTTAACGTGGTAAGGATATGAATTATTAGAGGAAGTAGCGTAGCGTGGCATCAGAGAGAGGAAGAGAGGAATGTACCGTGCTGCTTCACATCAGTTACTCGCCCCACTCGGAGGCGGAGGTTGGAGTGTGTACCAATACCAACCCCGAGCCTTTTGTTCGTGTTTCAGCAGGATCTCCATTGATTTACAAACGTGAGTACTGTATGTCAGCTCATTTGAGTAAGATAGAATTGGTGAACTCTGTACCGTTTTTCGGTCAAGGGCGAATGTATGTTGTATGTTAGCTGGTGTACCTAGATTAGTACTATTGGGGGCATGCTATTTTATATATATATATATGTAGAAATGAAAGACTTTGCCTGTATTATTTGATCGTCATCATGTTAAGATACTAAGCAATGGGAAGTATAAATTTAGGAGGCCATAACAATGGACGTGTCACCACCTACGTATCACAGATACGTTCAAGACGAATCTTATTGGCTGACTGGCAGGCAGCCCGAGCGCCAAGTTTGAATTGGACAATTCAAAATGCTTATTCAGGTTAAAATACTGTACATACATATTGGATTTATAGAGTTAATACATAAAATAACTAAAGCCACTAATACGCACAGCGTTTCGGGCAAATGCCAATTATTGTGTGGGCTCGTCTTCCTTCTGAGGTTGAGCTTCAGCTCTTGGGACCCGCTTCTCGCCCGTTAATTGTATAATTCATTGTGTCTACAGCTTTTGAGGGGGGGGGTATCATTTATATCTGAAGCTGTGTATGGAGTCTATCTTTCACTACATCACTACCTAGTGCATGCCATTTAACTATGACAATTCTTTCTAATGTTTCTGTGAGAGAAGACACACAGGGTTGTGTATAAGTACAGGTTATTTATTAAAGTGTACATTATTACAAAGGCACTAACACAACATACATATTCCTGAGTTGTTGTTATAAAGTATTATAATGGTCACGTATATTGACGTAAGTATATCTGGCATACACTGACGTCAGAAATATATATGGCTTAGCATGCAGCTATAGTGTTCCGTCAGTTGTGTGTGCGTATATGCATTTATCACCAACTATATGACGTACAGGAAGAAGATTAAAATAGTTTTGGACAAAAACGTTTACCGGATATGTGATATTTTCCGTTGTGGTGGGACAGGAAGCCTGCCCTTGTCTTCCCGAGGCTATTCCACTTTCCCCGGGATGTAACCCCCATAACAGTTGCCCTAACTTCCCCCAGGTACCTATTAACTACCAGGTGAGCAGGGGCATGAGGTGAAAGGAAGCATGCCCAACGGTTTCCGTCTCAACCGGGAATTAAGTGGGTTGCGAGCCTTAAGAGGCAATATAAAGCCTTAACAATCTTCTATTCCTCGGATAGGATAACTATCCACCAGCACACACAGGATTGTTTCAGGTTCTGCTACTGGGAACAAAATGTTCCAAGTAGCACGGGCTATGGTGAGCCCGTAGCTTATACCTGGCACAGGAGCGGGGGCTGTGGTGGACTGGCGTCTTTATAACGTTATAAACGTCGAGCGCTCCGCTGAAACGTTGGTCGGGAGCGTGGTGGCGGCGGCGTCAAGCCACAGAGCAGGACCCCGTTCGAGGCTCGCAGAGTATACGGGGCCCCCACAATCGCACTATGCAGATAAGAGCCACGTTTTCCTCACATGGGTTATTATCAGCAGAATTCGTTTTGTCAGGGACACGAATCTGGTGTGATATACGTAATCTATATAAAATATATATATATTATTAGATTAAGATTATATTATTGTAATATAAGATTATCTTAGATTTAGGACCTGCCCGAAACGCTGCGCGTACTAGTGGCTTTGCAAGATTGTAATTACTATACTATGTACCCTCACAATCCCAATGTACCGTCTTGTATATATATAAATAAATATAATTATATATATATATGTATATATATAATGTGTGTGTGTGTAATATATATATAATGTGTGTGTGTGTAATATATATATAATGTGTGTGTGTGTAATATATATATAATGGCATGGTTACTTGATTTGGATATCGGCGGCCAGTTTTTATTATTATTTTCCGATTTATATTGTTTCTCTAGCTGAATACTAATGTTTATAAGTAAACAGATAAAACAAATCTTGTCAGAGAAGTGGATTTCTATGTTTTTTTTTATTTTAATCCCGATGCGTGGCGGGTCGCAACGACAACGTTGATAAAAGTAAAAACGTTAAAATGCGTTAATAGCGTTAAAATACGTTAATAACGTTGAACTACGTTAATAACGTTGAACTACGTTAATAACGTTGAAATACGTAATAACGTTGAAATACGTTAATAACGTTGAAATACGTTAATAACGTTGAAATACGTTAATAACGTTGACAAACGTTTAAGAAAAGGTAACTATGCCGAGAAAGCGACAAGCCATTATGACTACATAGCACTTGGAAGGGGTCAGGATAAGGATTTGGGATGAGACATAGGAGGGAAGGAAGAGTTTAAGTAATTATCTGAAGAAAGGCTCTTTCAAGCGCCTTGTATTTAAATCATCAGATGGAGAACATGTGTAACGAGTCTTTCGTTCTCAACATACTCCTCGAGATCCCGGGTTCGACTCCCGCGCGGGACAGAAATACACCACACCAGAGGCACCTAATGCCTCTGTTCACCAAGCAGTAAATAGGTACCCGGAAATTTGGGTATTACTGTCCTTGACAAATTAGGCTTCCATGTACTACTGTATTGTACTGCCAGAGAACCAACAATCAAAGGCATAGATCCGATTGACTAAAGAGTGTCGCTATAGTCCTATCTAATTTAAGGCGTTAATTGGGAAACACTAAGAGTTAATGGCCCTCGGGTAAATTCAGGCCACGCAGTCTTTTCGTAACCTTTTCCGATCTCGGCACTCCCTGTAGTAAGGCTTCACAGTCCAGCACCCACTGTAGTAAGGCTTCACAGTCCAGCACCCACTGTAGTAAGGCTTCACAGTCCAGCACCCACTGTAGTAAGGCTTCACAGTCCAGCACCCACTGTAGTAAGGCTTCACAGTCCAGCACCCACTCTAGTAAGGCTTCACAGTCCAGCACCCACTGTAGTAAGGCTTCACAGTCCAGCACCCACTGTAGTAAGGCTTCACAGTCCTGCACCCCCTGTAGTAAGGCTTCACAGTCCAGCACCCACTGTAGTAAGGCTTCACAGTCCAGCACCCACTGTAGTAAGGCTTCACAGTCCTGCACCCCCTGTAGTAAGGCTTCACAGTCCAGCACCCACTGTAGTAAGGCTTCACAGTCCAGCACCCACTGTAGTAAGGTTTCACAGTCCTGTACTCCCTGTAGTAAGGCTTCACAGTCCTGTACTCCCTGTAGTAAGGCTTCGTAGTCCTGTACTCCCTGTAGTAAGGCTTCACAGTCCAGCACCCACTGTAGTAAGGCTTCACAGTCCAGCTCCCTCTGTAGTTAGGCTTCACAGTCCAGCACCCACTGTAGTAAGGCTTCACAGTCCTGCACTCACTCTAGTAAGGCTTCACAGTCCAGCACCCACTGTAGTAAGGCTTCACAGTCCTGCACTCACTGTAGTAAGGCTTCACAGTCCGGCTCCCACTGTAGTAAGGCTTCACAGTCCAGCTCCCCTTGTTAATAAACACTGGACTGTTAGAGGTGCACATAATGGGCTCAGGAACTGGACCTCAATATTAGTTTAAATAAACAGGTTACAACATTGATGAGCTAGTTTCAGAGCTTAACATCAATAACTTTTCCCTGTTTACCAAACAAACATCACTCGTTGATGTTTTGGTTACTTAATGAAATTTTATGTGATATATTAGGAGGTAAAAGACTGGTATACCTCCTTCAATCACTATACTATGATAAGAGACAGAATAGCTTCTTAATCACCATAGTGAGTACAGTTTCATCTACCATCCTGGGGTAAGTGACAGGAATAATTCCTTCAATGACCATAATTCATTGCACTTTAATAGTACAGTGAATCTTAATGTAATTAATTACATCATTATTAATGTAATCAAACCATATTTAGTTATTAATATGTATCTTTTCTATCATAAGTTTTGTTATTTATAATATATATTATAAATTATACAGTACTTTATTATTGAGAAAATCAACTTGCCCGAAATGCTATGCGTACTAATGGTTTTAGGTATTGTATGTACTACCTCTATCTTTAAATCCAACATTATGTATGTAACTCAATGTATGTACCTTTACCTGAATAAAAAATCTAAATCTAAATCTAAACGAGTTCTGAGCTGACTTGAAGCCACAACCCCCCTGGATCATCCTGACTTGGGAAAGTCGTACAACTGTATTTCTTCTGAAATCACAGGAAGTCTGAAGGCCCCTACTGAAGCCAGTCTAAGCTTTACGTAAGACCCCCAAGCACTCAAGTTGGGGGATGGGGGCAACATTTTGTTCATCCATGTTTCATTCCAGCATCAGATACACAGAAAACTCACACTAATGGGATACTGTATATTTCAATAAGCAAATCAACTGGAGTTTCGATGTGATTCGAACCCGCGACCAAGGAATGGTCGATTGTCAGGGTGGTGCAGTGGTCAGCGTCAGCGGCTGGGATTCCCTCGGTCACGAGTTCGAGTCGCCTCAGAGCTCCAGTTGATTTTCTCATTGATATATACAGTATCACATTAGTGTGATTTTTCTGTGTATCAGATGTTGGAATGTACAGTGGATGAACTACGTTGCCCCACCCGGGTGCTTGGGGTCATACGTAAAGCTTGGACTGGCTTCAGAAGGGACCTTCAGACTTCCTGTGAATTCAATAGAAATCTGGTTGTGTGACTTCCAAGTCAGGGTGTATACAGGGTGTATTCTCTGTGTATACTGAATTATTCTTATTTATTTCCAGATGTGTCAACAGATGTCACAAAGGATGCAAGTCATCTCTAACACACTACCCTGTATATCAAACAGTGTCAATCACCATGATCTTCCTATAGAAGCCACCAGCTTGTTCCTTAGGATGAGAAGCCACAGGACCTCTACCCCCAGAACTTCAAGCAAAATGGAGTGGGCTCCTGGTATAAATAGAGGTGTTGTCTTGGAAGATATTAACAGTAGCTGGAGTCCCCCGGCCATGGTCACACCTCATCATGTGCAGGAGGAAGAGTTGACAGATTTGTCCATGGTCGATCTGGGTAACCTTCAAACTGATGCCTGCCTCTATGTTCTCCCTGAGCTGGTATGGTACTTTTTCTTTTTTGTTTTCTGGGAGGGGCCCCCTTGGTGGCTCCTAGGGCTACCCATCTCGTAAGCTCCAAACCTAGGTTATCACTTAAGGTTCTAAGATTCACAAGTACATAATGGAAACCAATTCCAAAGATCTGGCTCCCTTAGTAGAGGCTAGGTAAGTCTGAGGGTACTAAACCACCAAAATAATCCAAAAGAAACTTCACCAAAAAAGGTAGGGTGCAACAAAACAAGCAAATGCATTTACAATACAGTACAGTATTGGCATTCCTGACACAAACGTGCACTTGCTTATTAGCGGCAAGTGACTGCTAGTTAGCATTGCTTGTTTACTACTAGATGGCAGCCCTGTCCATTGAAGAGTACTGACCAGTCAGCTTCTTCATTCACATGCCTGGTACGCCCTGTTGCCCACCACTTTTCGGGCTCAGTCCTCAGCTTAGTGTTGGCCTTCCTCTGGGCTCTATTCTACTGCAAGGGACCATGTTTATGCTTGCTCCTTTTTCAGGCTTCATGTATGTGTATTTTAGCCTTCCTGTTGTGTGTGCCTCAATTCTCATTATGCCTTGACTGCATGTCTCTAATTGCCACTGGTGTTGCCCCTTCCTTTGGCATGGATTACCTTTACTGAGAAAATTCGAGAGTCTGCGCTTGGTGATTTGCCTTCTCGAGGGTCCCCACTCTGGGTAGTGCATGTGCTTTGGCTCCTCTGCAGTGCCTGTTGGGTGGTAATTAACTAATTTTGGAGATCCGCTGTGTGCAAGTGTTCCAGCCAGACAAACCCAGTGGTGTACTCTCACACCTAAACCGTACTGAAGGCAGGGGCAACACCAGCTGAAAATAAAGAAGAGAACTCTAACTATATGCAGTCAAGCCAAAATGAGAATAGGAACATGCAGAGCAAGAAGAGAAAATATACATATGTGAAGCCTGAAAAAGGAGCAAACACAAATACAGGCCCTTGCTGTATAATAGAGTCCAGAGGAAGGTCAACACTAAGCTGAGGACTGAGCCTGGTATGCCCCCGTTTGCAACTGGGCATACCAGGCATGTGAATGAGGGAGCCAACTGGTTGGTACCCTCAGATGGACGGGGCTGCCATCTGGTATTGAGCAAGCGATGCAAACTAATTGCTGCTTGCTGCCAAGAGCCGCGTGCATATCTGTGTCAGGTTTGTCAATGTTGTCCCTGCAGTTGCTGGCTTTGTTGTGCACTACCATTGTGGTGTAGTGCTTTCCTATCAGTGACTATGGAGGGAGTGAGATCTAGTTCTTTATGCCCCCGACTCCAAGCCATTTATACCTGGTATGCTAATTATCAAAATTACATCTCAACATTACTTCCATCATTTATATTTAAAGTTGTGGATGAAATTGGCTTCAACAACCATTTCCTTCAATGCATGCCACTTGCCCTGGATTTGGAGCTTTTGGAGCAACTCACTCGAGGAGCTGCTGAGGGACCCCCCAGAACGAGGCGTTTCATTAAATTGAATCTTGGATTTTCTTTGGATTTCTAAAGAAAGTCTGTTCTATTGAATATTCTCAAGACATTTATATTGAAGAATTTGTCTATTGTTTTATTTATATCATTCAATATTTTTCATACCTCAGTCAAGTCAAAATACTTAAAAAATCAAGGTCATGATTCTATTTGATTTGATTTTGATTTGATTCTTCCTGATTTACCAGGAAGTACTTCTTTATTTCTTCTAGTTTGTCATTGTGACCTTTCAAACTTTATATATGTTTAGCTTTTCTATATAATCTCTCTAACCTTACAATTTAGTTTATTTTGGTGTATAACAACTAATATAGTTTGAGTTATAGATTAGACAAACCTAGGATGCTCTACCACTAGTTTAATTTGAATATAAAAGTGATATAATGTAATTCTTTCAAAAAGGGGGGTTGAAACCTGGGATATCAAAGACACAAGCAGTAGTACATTATAAACTTGCATCTCATATGAAATATTACTGGAACATCAAATTGGTGGCCCAAACTGGCTAACCTGTTATCAGGTATGAGAGTGTAGAATTTTTTCCTGGAAAAAATCAAACAAAAATTTACTGCTATTCAGATGTCAGGATTGACCTTTCAAGAGATATAAGGCTTGATGATACACTGTATTATTAAATACTCCTTTGAGGTAGGGGCAAATTGGAAATTTTAAAACAGCTCTGGAAAATTTTCAGTATAAGGTGATGCATGTTAGTCTTCTGACAGTACAGTAGTCAACAAAAGTATGGGCCGCCCTGCTCTAGGCGGTGCGTATTTATGGCATAAAAAGAATGATGGGCGTGTGAGTGAAATATGAGAGATGGAGGCTAGTGCCAGGTATATGACATCAGGGGGTTTCCCAGCTTCCTGGAGGCACACAGCTGGTAGGCTCAGTTGGCCCCGGGCATTCATTGGGAACGATTGTGTTGCACGTGCTACTCTGGCACCTCACCGTCTCTTATCGCAGTTAACATTGGTGCTGGTGGTATTACATTGTTGTTATGGCACCCACCAAGCAAAGAAATCACTGCTCAGATCATTGCTTCAAAAGGTATGTCAATAAGACTCCAGTCTGGTGGGGATGACAACACCAGCCATCAAAGGAAGAGGTTAAATGAACTTCCAGCCTAAATTAGGACAATAAAACTTCAGACTGCTGGGAATGGAAACCCCAGCCACCAGGCCTACAGTGTCAAGGAAGCAGGCCACCAAATTCAGGCCTGGCAATTAATTGTTGAGTGTAGCCTGGTCAACACGAGGAAGTATTGATCACGTTTCCAAGAGAAAAGCAGTGATGACACTCTGGAGCGATGAAAATATATAGAAATATTTCCAAATTTTGGTGGAAGGATCAACAAACATTTTCTACAGGACTCAAGCAATGGTAAGTGCAGACACAATTTCTTTATATTGGCTAATCGTTTAGAGCAAAAAAATGATCTTTCAATAGCATTATAGTAATTATTTTGTATTTTTTCTGGGGAAAGCCCCTATGGCTCCCAGGAGCTATCCAGGCTGATATGGATATCCTAACTATTTTGCATCAGTCAATGTGGATGGAGTTCTAGCCCTATCAGGGACCACGAGCCAGAACCTGGCCCCCCTCACAGAGGCACGAGGAGCAATGGCCCATAGACATGCACATGTGATTTGAAGCATTCTATATCTGCCATCGACCGGGACAGGCACCCAGAAAGGTAAGCACCACAAAACAAACCCCTATTCTGGTTAAAACAACAAAAATCGCCAACGAGTGGACAGAACTCCCTAAAAGAAAAACGAGCAAACAAGCATGACGTCACCAGAGCCGCGCTGCATGTCTGCGCAACTCCCCTTGTCCCCAGGAGGGGGAAGGGGGAGCCCCAGACCCCCACGCTGGCGATCCACCCTTCAGTTCCTTGGCTGATGGGATCGTGCACATTCGTGTGGCTCCAGCTCCGGTCTTCTTCAGTGCTGTCATTGTTTTTAGTGCTGCTCTTCTGGTGGTCGTGCGAGCTGGGAGTATTATTCTCAGGTACTCTGGCTTCATGTGCTTAGGGTCACCTTCCCTGAGTGCCCTGTAAGTACCGCCCTTGGGGCTTGGGGTTCTCTTCCACAAGTCACCTTGGGTCTACCTCTGTTGGCTTTTCGCTGCTTGGTGTTTGGCCGCCCCCAAGTGTGTGGGGGTTCTTCCCCCTTTGTTTACCTTGGGGCAAGTGGTAGTTATTGTACTGGTGGGGCGCTGGGTACTGCATAGCTACTTATTCACCTTTGACAGCGGCCGGCTCTGTTCTTTTCGGGTACGTTGTCCTCTTGCGAGGTTTTTCTTTTCTATTTGTTTTTGCCTGGTGGGGGTCTGCCTTGTATTTCCCTCCCCCTTATATTACGTCGTTTGTGTGGTGGCACCCCCTGCTTCGCCCTCATGAGTGGACACGTCCCGTAAGTTCAGTTTTTAGCAGTTTGCTTGGTAGTTTGGGACGCCGGTTAGCAGTACCCTGCCTGGGATAACCCTTAGCAGACCAAGTCTAGGGGCCCCCTGGAAAACCTCGCGGGGGGGCACTCGGGTCCAATGGAGGAGACCCCTGCGTCCCCTCTCGCTCTGTGTGAGTTTGAGGGTTGCTGTCCCCTTGTCTTAGGGCGACACTCATTGTTTTTGCCTCCGTCATGCTGCTTGTTGGGTCGGTGACACATTCGACCCTGAGTCCTGCGAACTTTGTTGCTTGTTTGTGACTCAATTCACCCAATCTGCAGGTGATGTTCTTCGGGTGCAGGTAGCACGTGTGTTGCAGGATAGGTTTAGGTTATTGCAACGTGCTCGGATTGTCGCTTCCCCGGACGCCCCAAGGCTGCCCCGCTTTGTTTATTGGGACTCTGACTTGGGGGTGTTGGTCGCTTCGGCCTTGGTTCTGTCCGCACCCCCTCGTTCTTCCCCTTCGGTGATTCAATTGCCCCCCCTGCTTCCGGCCCCAAAGCGTCTGAGGGCTTCAGGGTCAGGGCAGGGTTTAGAGGTCTCTGAGACTCGGGTAGTTTCGTGGATTGCCCCGTCCGGGGCATTCGAGTCGGTTCCTCCTGCCCTTGCTCCGGGGTCTGACCAGTGGGCCCCTTCTCTTCTGAAGCTTTCGGCTGCCCCGGGTTTTTCTTCTGAGATCGGGGCTTTGGAGGACGACTTGTCCCCAGGCCCTGACATGGGGGCCTTGGGCTCTGTTGAAACCCACCCTGGATTTTCAGGCCTTCTGAGCGAGGCTTACTGTTGCAAGGAGTAGGGTTTGCTTTTCCCCCCCTCTGCGTACGATTTGGACTTGGGTTCGGCTCCTCCCTGGGTTTGATTCTGTGTCCCTGCAGACCCTTCGATTCCATCTTTCCAGAGGTTTTCGGCTTCCCGCATCTTGCCTCCTGAGGTGCGGTCGACCATTGCGGCTTACCTCCTGCGTGACCCGGAATATGCCTCCATAATGGATCCTGCTTTGTTCAGGTTTGGATCTTCTTGTCCTTCCTGGGTGCGTTACGAGGTTCCGGGGTCATCCTGGCTTGCAGACTGCCCCTTGTTCTCATTGGATGCTTGGGACTCCTTCTGTCGGACCCGCACGTTTGAGTGACGTGAGGCGTTGACGGTGGTCCAGGTTTACCTTGGGGGGCGACTTTGAGCATCTTAATGAGTGCCTTTTCACTCCTGCCCTATTGCGAGATATTGGCGCGGTTCAGCTTCATGTGCAGGTTCCTTCCTTGTTGGCTGCGCTTGTAGCTGAGGACTATCGCGCTCGTGGCTTCTTGGCTGCGGTCCTGCATTACATTTCCCTCCAAGAGCTGTCTTCCGATTGGCTTGTGGAGGATGTAGAGGCACGTGGATCAGTTCCCGGGTCTAGCGCCTTGGTCTCGGCCGTTCGTGTGTCATCTGCGCTGTTGAAGCTGTTTGCTCCGATCCTGCAGGAGGCACTGCTGCAGTTTTTTGCTGCGCGTTTCGCGTGTTGACAGGCAGTTCTCGCTTCCTCCTTGGAATCCACTTGGGTCCTGGTTCTTTGTTTGTATTCTCTGTTTTGTCCATTGCTTTTTGCAGCCTCTGCGGTTGAACGTTATATTCAGGCGGCTTCCAAAAACTTGCCGCCCTATGTCTGAATTGTTGGTTCTCCGGGGGTCCCGGGGGATTCCTTCCTGGAGGGGTCGTGCCAGGGCTCGCAGTTCCATTTGTCGGGGTCAGCCACAGGTGTAGGGTTTGGAGCTCGTGCCGCCTGCGGTCCCGGCTGTGCCTGGTCGGCATGGTGTTCGCTCTGCACGTAGGTCGGGTTCTCGTAAGGGGCAGCAGCCCTTTCGCGGTTCGCCCCATTGACAGGGCTGTGGGGGGGGGGGAGGCTTGCTCTGTTTGCTCACGCCTGGTCTCACAATTTGTGGGCTTTTCGGGTTGTTTCTCGCGGCCTGTGATGGCGTTGGGTGGCTCCACCTCCTTTGGGAGGTTCGGGGCTGGCAGGGCAGGTTTCCTTTCCTGTGCTCTGTCAGGTCATCTTGGAGTGGGTGCGCTTGGACGTGGTCGAAACGACGACGTCTCTCAGGTGGGTTTCCCACCTGTTTCCAGTCCCGAAACGGGACTGTGCGGACCTGCGGTTCATTCTGGACGTGTCCCGTCTGAACCCTTGGGTTTCGTGCCTCTCATTTCGGATGACCACTCTGTCCCAGGTCCGGCTTCTGTTGGATCCGGGCGCTTGGATGGTGTCCTCAAGGACGCGTATTGGCACGTCCCTATTCATCTGGGGTTCAGGGACTGGCTCGGTTTTGTTGTGGGGCATCAGAGTTACCGCTTTCGTTGTCTCCCGTTCGGGTTGAATATAGCACCTCACGTGTTCACACGCCTTACCCAGGTCGTGGTGCCCCGTCTGCGTCTGTTAGGTGTTCAGGTGTTGGGTTACCTCAACGACTGGCTGGTTTGGGCTCCCAGTCACGTATCTGCTCGCCAGGGACTTGGTTGATTCCCAGCTCCCCAGGTTCGGGTTCTTGGTGAATCTGGTTCCCTCCCCGGTTCGGTCCTGGCTGGGTCTTGTGTAGGACTCTCGGACGACTTCCTTGTCTCTTCCTCCGGCGTCTCACCTTCGGCTACAGTCCCGCATGTGCTTGTTTCTAGGGGGCTCCCGGGTCACCCGGCGGTTGCTCGAGGATCTGTGCGGGAGCCTGAACTTTGCAATGTTAGTCTACTCGCCGGGGTGAGTTTGGCTTATTCGGCTGTTCTGGTTCCTCCGGGGATGTCCCTTTCGCCTCTCTCGCGATCGCTGGGTTCGGCCCCTCAGGGGCCTTACGTCGGCTGCTGCGTCGCCGGCTTCCTCTTCGGGTTTTTCGGGGTTCGGTGCCTTGGCAAGCCCTCACTCAATGTATTCACGGACGCGTCGTCTCTTGGCTGGGGCTTTGTGACCAGTGCTCACCAGGCCGGCCAGGGACGGTGGGGTCTGTCCTTCCATCAGGCCCACAGCACGGTGCGGGAGTTCGCGGTGATGTCATTTGCGCTTCGGAGGGTTCGGGTTGCCCGCAGAGCGACAATCCGGCTCCATTCGTACTGCCTGAACCAAGGGGGTTCGATGCGGTCCTTGGCTCTTTGGGGCTGGTCACTTCGGGTGACTCGTCTGCTGAGTTCTCGGGGTTTGGCTCTCCTGGCGGTTCATGTCCGGGGTGTGTCCAACGTCCTGGCGGACAAGCTGTCCCATTTTGTTCCCCTGTCCACGGAGTGGACGGTCGATGCCGGTCCACCTCCCCCTGTCCCGGAGGTGGACCTTCACGTCGGCGTGGTCGAGGCGTCTTCCGGTGTATGTGGCACCCTTCCCCGACCGCGAGGCTGTTGGGATCGATGCCTTTTGGCTGGACTGGTCGAGGTAGGGATTTCTGTACCTCTTCCCCGCGGTTCAGTTGTTGCTCCAGGTCCTGGCTCGCTTGGTGACTTACCAGGGGCAAGCAGTCCTCTTGGCCCCGTGGTGGGCAGCCCAGCCATGGTTTCAGGCGCTGCTTGCTCGGTGTCCGAACCCGGAGGTTTTTCCGCAGCTCCGCCTCTTTCAGCAGATCGACCCAGTCCGATACGAAACTGGTTTACTGTTCTCCTCGAGTCTTCGCGTTTGGTGTTTTTGACTCGAGTTTATCACCATCTCTATGGTGATTAGGTGGCTTCCTTGATGGTGTCCCACCTGCGGGCTTCTTCTCGGCGGCAGTATGAAGTTTCTTGGCGGTCCTTCCGTTTCTTTTTGACTCTTCGTCGTTGCTCCTCGTTTTCGGTTCGGGTGGTGTTGTTCTTTCTGTCTTGGTTGTTCCAGGACCGTCATCTTATGCTGAATGCTGTCGCCTCATATCGTGCGGCGCTGGCGGAGCCGCTGCAGCTTGCTTTCGGTATCGATGTTACTTTTGCACCGTTTCGCAAGCTGTCTCGTGCGTTGTTTCACCAACATTCCTCATTCCTTTAGGTGGCATCTATTCATGTTGAATTTGATCTGCGATGTGTTTCATTCACTTATTTAATTCAGGTCATCTTGAAGGTATGCAGTCATCTGTCTTTTATTTTTTCTAGTAGCTGGGGGTTGTGCCATGTCAGGTATACAGTACCCTGTATGACCGTATAAAATCAAATAATATTTAGCTATGTCTGATGTATTCTTCTTGTCTTACAGATACAGGAAGGAAAGAGAGAGAGACTTCATACAGTACTGCACATGCCGTCTGAGGTCCCTGAAGCTGTCATGGGCAAACACTCTCCCTCCGCCAGCTTTAACATTCTGATGGTCGATGTCTCGGCTTCCATGAGCACTTACTGGAAAGATGTGGTGCAGGGCTGGAACAAACACGTAGCACCCACGCTGACTGGCCGTACCATGCTGTATGCGTTCGGTAACAGGGTTCTCTTCTTAAGGTGCGGGACAGAATTGAAACAAGAAGACTTCATCAGTGGAGGTACAGATTTGGTTGGTGCATTGCGGACTATCATCAGTGAAGTGTACCAATGCAGGGAAAAGTACATTAAGGTGTTTCTCATCACGGATGGTGACCACACTGTGTCTAAAGTGAAGCCAGAGAGTGTGATAGAGAAAATGAAATGTGCAATGGGCAAGATATGTGATGTTTTTGTTCTAGGTGTTGGGAATGATTTCCCTGTCCAACACAGTATTGACATTCGTTCTCGTCTTCATAATGGAAACTCCAACTTGCCCTATCTCTTCACAGCTGAATCCTCCAAGGACATAATGGAACAGATGCATGCTATTGGCAGAGGAAGTTGCAGCAGTAATGCCGCTAAAATTAAGTTGTCTGTGAGAGGGTCAGCTCTACCAGGGGGAGACATAACAGACACTTTTCACCTAGGAGAATGGGTATACTTCCCCTGTGAGCCAGAACAGGTGCAGCAACTAACTCTCACATGTGGCAGAAGAACATTCAGCATCACCTTGCAACCACGTCCCATACCAATATTGGACTTAAATGAAATGTTCCGTCAGTGGAACTCGCTCATAATCCAACGGCACAGGAAAGGGGAAGCTGTTTCACAAGATATCATGGCTTTAAAGGAGAGGCTCTTCAGTACCTGGATGATAAAATTGAAGAATCGTGGCACACTAACTGTCCTTGACCGTCTTGCTCAGAAGGAAATGAAAACCCATGAAGCTAATTTCAGAGCTAACATCAATAAGATGAAAGCTATCTTAACAACAAAGAATTTTCAGAACGATCAGGAGCTGGCTGATCAAGTTCTCTACACGACTGTTGGTGGAAGCAAATATGAGACCAAAGTATTTCAAATGAAAGGACACACAAACAGTGATTTTGAGAAGGTTCGGGAGGAATTCATGAAGGTCTATGAAGCACACAAAGCAAACATTCAAACAATTGAGACTACACCAGAAGACTGCTGTCGTATCACCCTCACTTCCACTGTGTCGGATTTGCAGGATTCAAACTTCGCCGAGCTGCTCCAGTTAGGCAAATTTGAATTCCTAAAGCAGTTTACTATCACGGGAATCCCAGTGTTTTCCCCAATCAGGGACTCTATGATCATCAACCCTTGGTCCTACTCAGTCAGGGCAATGCTCACCTCCCCCTACACCATCCTTAGTCAGGTGGCGCTTGAGTCCTTTGCTGAAGTCAAGCCAGCTGGTGAGCAACATAAAGATGTCAAGGTCAAATGGGATGAAGCTAATACCCGTTTCAATGCTATAGTTCCAGTTTTCCCGCCATGTGCAGCTAAGATCATGGAGCCAATTGTTCACACCCGCCTGTATGCCATGTGTGCAACCTTTGCTATCCTAAAGAATCCTCATATTATTGACTTCAACGTACACATGGCTGCCTTGGCTATCACCTGGATGCGGATCTTGTATGAGTACCCCACCCAGCCTAGACCAGAGTTTGTGCGTTCACGCATTGAGTGTATAGAGGCCACTGCTGCCCTCTACATCAAGCAGTCAAGCTATGCCACGTACTGGAAGATGCTCCAGAGAAATACAGCCCAAGCACTGATGACTGAGAGCATAGAGAAGGTTGACAACAAGACAGTTAAATGTGAATCACTCATAAAGCCAATGTTCATACTGCATATGAACCAGCAAGGTGAAGACAGACAGGACTCTGATGTGGTGGCCAGGATGGTGAGGATGATCCTTGTGGAATATATCGGTCGATGTCTTGAGAGATACAAAGCCAAGGATAAGGCAGCAATGCCCTTCACAGACTTCTTCGTTGAAACACTTGTTGAGCATAATAAGAAGGGAAAATGGGTTCGTACATATGTAGAAAACATCAAAGCAAATTTGACTGTAAGTTTAGACACAATCCTGAAGAAGTTTTACACATTAGAGGAGGTTACAAAAGCAGCCAGACAGATTGCAAGAGAGCAATTACAAGTCATGAAAGAGAAGTTCACAGCAGATTTACCCATCAAGGTGAACATGGGTAAAGTTGCTCATCTTCACAATGTGTCTGGTGCAGGTGATGTGTCTTGGCACACACTAAAGGTCTTTGCCAGAGAAGCAAACCTGACAGAGAACATCATCAGTGACTTGTTTAGTGAAAAGAGCGTGTTTATGTATGTGGCCCATGCGCTTAAATACAGGACCTCACGAACCCGACTGACTGCCCCTCTTGATGACTTTGATGTCAGTTTGGCCACAGTGACCAAACGTATCCAAAATGAGAGCTTCAGTTATTTTGCTAAAGGTCTGAATGTTGAGATCCAACAACATGTAGAGAATGCTTGGCTGGAAACATATTTAGCTGCCCACAGAGAGGTGGTGCACCCCATGACACCACAGGAGATAGTGATGCAGGCAAGACAGAGAGGCATAGAGGTGACAGATACCACGTTTTACCAGGTGTACCAGAAATACCGTCCAGATGTTGGCTTGTTAGGGAATGCATGCCAATCCCAATCTTGCCCTTTCTACCTAATACCCAACAAGAGATACAATCAACATGCTTCAGTAGAACGCCAAGGTACCCCAAATTTTCCCCACTCCCTGCATCGCATTGCTTACATTGACAGGAACAAGGACCTAGCCACAGCTATTGATCATTTTAGCTCAGGAATCTGCACCAAGACCCAGATGCCACTACACCCCAGAGTAATCACCAAATTTAGCAACGACCTAAAGCGTCTGCAGGACGATTATAAGATGAACTTACCTGGTTCCTAAGCAGCAGCTGGTCAATTTCTGGATTGCTGCGTGTTTGGTTACTTCTGAAAAAAGTAATCATGATGTAATAGCTGAAATAGATCAAAGTCAGCTGACACCACCTGAGGAAAGACCATAAGTAGGTGGGAAAACACTGCTAATAGGTATCTGGCAGAAACAGGAGAATATCAAGAGCAGTGATAAAATCTGAAGAGAAAACTTTCAAGGTGAAGTACAAACTGGAAAAGACCATATTTTCCACTGAGAAGATGACACAAGAGACCAGCTTTCTCTCCTTCACCCTGCAGCTGGGAAGGTGTGAGCAATGCTAAAAAAAAATTGACAAAAGCTATATTAAAAATAAATTAGTATCATAGTAGCAAGAACCAACTAAAGGTGACATATTGCACCCCATTCTGAAACTGCAAAGATAATGAAAGTGCATGATTCAAAAACTGATTTGAAGGGTGAGAGTCATATGCCCATCACCCACCCCTTCATCCTGTACCAAATGTTTTAAACATTGAGGATTTTAAAATACAGTATTTATATTTGTAATCTTTCTTTTTCTGGGGAGAGCCCCGTCAGCTCCCCGGAGCTATCTAGGGTGATATGAATGTATTAGACTGTGGCATCAGTCAAAGCGAATTGAGTTCTTGGGCTTGCCAAGGACCACGAGCCAGAACCTGGCCCCCAACTCTGAGAGGCACAAGGAGCAATGGTCTATAGAAACCGCCGTGTGGTTGGAAGCATTCTATGTCTGACATCGACTGGGTCAGGCACCCAGAAAGGTACGCGCCCCAAAACTAACCCTATCTGGTTAAAATTGCTACTGAAAGCTGAACTGTTCGAAGAACTCGCCAAACTAAAAACAAGCAATGAGCATGACGTTACAACCGTCACTGCGCCGCTGTCTGCGCAACTTCCCCCTCCCCGGGATGGGGAAGGGGGAGCTTCAGACCCCCGTGCCAGCTATCCACCCCCAGTTCAGAGACTGGATGTCAACATCGCACAAACCGCTGACCGGAGGGAGGGAAGGTTGCCGGGGAGCCTCCGGGTCTCACCCAGAAAACCTGAGTTGAATGTAATGAAACACCATTTACTGGGTGAGACCTGGAGGCTCCCAGGCAACCCTCCCTCCCTCCAGTCAGCAGTGCCTGACCTGGTCAGGGTGCCTGTCGATGGCAGAGTCACTTTCTGGGTGCCTGCTCCTCATGCTTCTCTGAGGGGGTCTGGCTCTTGGTCCTTGGTAGGCCTAAGAACTCCTTAGGAAGCATTCTATCCAGTTCAAAGGCTGGATGTCAAAACCCCGAAAACTGCTGACCAGAGGGAGGGAGGGTTTCCAGGAAGCGTCCGGGTCTCACCCAGAAAACCTGAGTTGAATGTAATGAAACACCATTTACTGGGTGAGACCCGGAGGCTCCCAGGCAACCCTCCCTCCCTCCGGTCAGCAGTGCCTGACCTGGTCAGGGTGCCTGTCTATGGCAGGGTCACTTTCTGGGTGCCTGCTCCTCGTGCTTCTCTGAGGGGGTCTGGGTCTGGCTCGTGGTCCTTGGTAGGCCTAAGAACTCCTTAGGAAACATTCTATCCAGTTCAAAGGCTGGATGTCAAAACCCTGAAAACTGCTGACCAGAGGGAGGGAGGGTTTCCAGGAAGCATCCGGGTCTCACCCAGAAAACCTGAGTTGAATGTAATGAAACACCATTTACTGGGTGAGACCCGGAGGCTCCCAGGCAACCCTCCCTCCCTCCAGTCAGCAGTGCCTGACCTGATCAGGGTGCCTGTCGATGGCAGGGTCACTTTCTGGGTGCCTGCTCCTCGTGCTTCTCTGAGGGGGTCTGGCTCTTGGTCCTTGGTAGGCCTAAGAACTCCTTAGGAAGCATTCTATCCAGTTCAAAGGCTGGATGTCAAAACCCCGAAAACTGCTGACCAGAGGGAGGGAGGGTTTCCAGGAAGCGTCCGGGTCTCACCCAGAAAACCTGAGTTGAATGTAATGAAACACCATTTACTGGGTGAGACCCGGAGGCTCCCAGGCAACCCTCCCTCCCTCCGGTCAACAGTTTTGACATCCAGCCTCAGAACTGGGGGTGGATAGCTGGCGCAGGGTTCAGGATCTTCCCAATCCCCCCCTCCTGAGTAGGGGGGAGTTGCATAGACAGCGGCGCGGCAACTGTTGTGACATGCTCATTTGCTCGTTTTAAGTTTGTCCAACAGTTCGGCTTTCAGTAGCAATTTTTAACGAAGTTGGATTTATTTTGGGGCGCCTACCTTTATGGGTGCCTGGCCCGGTTGATGGCAAACATAAAATGCTTTCAACCATACAGGGGCTTCTATAAGCCATTGCTATTCGTGCCTGTCTGAGGGACCAGGTTCTGGCTCATGGTCTCCGGTAGGCCTAAGAACTCCATTTGCTTTGACTGATGCCAGGGTCTAATACATTCATATCAGCCCGGATAGCCCTGGAGAGCCTCCGGGTCTCGCCCAGAAAATGGCGTTTCGTTGCATTCAACGCTGGTTTTTTAGAACATGAAAGATTACAAACATGAATAGTTGCATTTTGGGAGGGCCCCATCAATAGCGCCCGAAACTATAACTTTGATAACATCAAAGCCTTGTGTACCACACCAGGCCTTTAGTGAACCCCATTCACCTACCAGCAATCGGTACCAGAATCTGGTCCCCTCAAAGCAGTAAAGGGAAGCCTGGGAATCCAAGATCACCTGCAGTAACAAGAGAAATAATTGCCAGAAAAAAAAGAGAGCACCAGAATAAGCAACTGCATGGAAGCATTTGTGACCCCAACACTGACAAGGTAAACACTTGTTACTGGACTGAGAACACTGTAGAGGCTCCCATCTGGTGGCGAGTTGGTGTAGCTAAGCAGTGTTCTCAGTCCAGTAACGAGTGTTTATATTGTCAGTGTTGGGGTTATAAATGCGTCCAAGAAGTTGCATATTTTAGTGCTCTATTTAGTTCTGGCAATTGTTTCTCTTGTTATTGCAGTGATTCTGGATCCCCAGGCTTCCCTATACTTGTTAGAGGGGACCAGGTTTGGGACAGGTTTCTGGTAGGTGAACGGGCTTCACTAGAAACCTAGTGTAAGTAGCTTCTATTACCTAAAGAGGCCTCTTTAGATAATAGGCTTCACTGGAAGCCTATTATGTAAAAAGGTCACCAAAACCACGACTTATATCGGTGAACAAATTTAATAAGCAAATTTCTTGTCGTAGAAGAATATTTAAGCTTATGTTGTGTGTTACACTGCAGAATTGGCCTAGTCATGATTTACCAAATGGCATACCTGATACTTAAAGTAAGGCCAACTTAGAACTGGCACACCAATGAGCATCTAATACCTAATGATGTTGTTGTAGGAAGTGTCTGTATATTACATGTATAGTGATAGTTTTGTGTGTAAGTTATGTTCTATAATAGTACAAATATTCAAAACTTATATTGTACCTCAGTAACCAATTGTGGTTTATACCATCTTGGGCAGATAAGCAATGCTATTCTGCCCTTGATACATTTTTCCTGTTTTCAAATACTTCTGTCAATATTAATTCATGCTTAATAATATTAACATAGAAATTCATGTTATTAAAATGATAACTTAGGCCTAGATTTATCTATGTTATGCAATATTGAGAAATAATTAGGATATTTATACTGTATTAGGTCAGGTTTTTTAGTTTTGGCACAAATGTAGAAAGCTCTTGATCATGTATATTATAATGAAAAAATTATAGTACATTGTAATTAGCAGTTCCCATGGCGAAGTGGTAACACTCTCGCCTGGCATTTCGCGAGCGCTTTCGCCTGGGTTCCTATCCTGGCCGGGGATATTTACTGGGCGCCAATCCTTAACTGTAGCCTCTGTTCACCCAATAGTGAATGGTACCTGGTCATTAAACAATTTGGCGGGTCATATTCCAGGGAAAATTAGGATTAATGACTTGCCCGAAATGCTATGCGTGCTAGTGGCTGTACAAGAATGTAAGAACTCTTGTATATATAAATAAAAAAAATAGTAAAACGTGTCATGAAGCAAATCTTACATTCATCATTCTGGGCATGAACTCAGCTGTGTCTTGATCCCTTTGTCCATTCCTCAGCTCCAGATGCCACTAAAAGACGTACTCTGGGTGTGGACTTGCAACATTGCAGCTGTGGGTTTAACCCCAGATGTCATTATTACAAGGTCCACTATGTGTGCAAATTGACTCGTGAGATTTGTTTCAAGGCCATTGGTTCATTACTGTACAACAATATCCACAGATACCATTGTTACATGGACCATTCCTGGCATAAATTCAAAGCCATGGGTTTGTCACCGACCCCTTTGTAGGGTCACTAATAGGGAATCAGCCATGGCCTGTGAGTGCTGTAGTGTACAGAGAGTTAGGTTATCCATATAATTTGTTTCCATTGCTAAGGAAATTTCATCCAAGGGGGTCAAAGAGCCAACAGTTTTCCCAAGGATATGGGTTCAAGATTCAGCAAAACAGAGACCCCAAGGCCCAAGTTTTTTCCTATATATAGGAGTCAAACTGTGATGGTGAACATAACCTGATGTTATGAAGATTATTGTAATTATATAGATTCAATTTCGTGTGAGGCAGGTCCTTTGCACGAGTTTATATATTTTTGTATGCAAAAATAACAATTTATTGATGTAATGAAGCTACATACCCTAAATAAATATACATTTACTAGATTTTTAAAATTTTCAACTTTTCGTTTCATTCTCCACTACCACCACTTTAAAATTCACCTCATGATGTGTAATACATTAAATATATATTTTTTACCATTGCCTAATATTGTACAGTATAATAATATGAATAGCTTATTTTTATTGTGTAGTTCAATAGTAACTGTTTAAGCTTTGTCTGCTTTCTGATACAGATTTTTTTAACTTGTTATTTAATATAATGATATATAACAAAAAATATTAGCTTTAACAAGTTAATATTTTAACTTGTTGAATATTTTAATCCTTCAAGGGTGGTATGCATTAACCCTTACTCCAAGAATGTATGAATTAACCTTACTCCAAGAATGTATGAATTAACCTTACTCCAAGAATGTATGAATTAACCTTACTCCAAGAATGGTATGAATTAACCTTACTCCAAGAATGGTATGAATTAACCTTACTCCAAGAATGGTATGAATTAACCTTACTCCAAGAATGGTATGAATTAACCTTACTCCAAGAATGGTATGAATTAACCTTACTCCAAGAATGGTATGAATTAACCTTACTCCAAGAATGTATGTATTAATCTTACTCCAAGAATGTATGTATTAACCTTACTCCAAGAATGTATGTATTAACCTTACTCCAAGAATGGTATGTATACTCACTTATTCAAAGTGGTATTATGTACTATGCCTTATTCCAGGAATATGTAGCGTATATGTACATATATGTACATATGTACATATATATATATATATATATATATATATATATATATATATATATATATATATATATATATATGTCGTACCTAGTAGCCAGAACGCACTTCTCAGCCTACTATGCAAGGCCCGATTTGCCTAATAAGCCAAGTTTTCATGAATTAATTGTTTTTCGGCTACCTAACCTACCTAACCTAACCTAACCTAACTTTTTCGGCTACCTAACCTAACCTTACCTATAAAGATAGGTTAGGTTAGGTTAGGTAGGGTTGGTTAGGTTCGGTCATATATCTAAGTTAATTTTAACTCCAATAAAAAAAAATTGACCTCATACATAATGAAATGGGTAGCTTTATCTTTCCATAAGAAAAAAAATAGAGAAAATATATTAATTCATGAAAACTTGGCTTATTAGGCAAATCGGGCCTTGCATAGTAGGCTGAGAAGTGCGTTCTGGCTACTAGGTACGACATATATATATATATATATATACACACACAGTATACTATATATATGTATGTGTATGTTTTCACATAAATCAGATATGGGGACCCGACGGATGAGTGGACAGCGCTCGGGGTTCGTAGTCCTAAGGGTCCGGGTTTGATCCCCGGCGTAGGCAGAAACAAATGGACATAGTTTTTTTCACCCTGATGTTCCTGTTCACCTAGCAGTAAATAGGTATCTGGGAGTTAGGCAGCTGCTATGGGCTGTTTCCTGTGTGTGTTCGTGAACATTAGGATTAAGGACTTGCCAGAAACACTATGCGTGCTAGTGGCTGTACAAGAATGTAAATTCAACTTAATTTCTATATTCTCTTAACCTCCAATGTACCTTCTTGTATATAAAGAAATAAATAAAGAAAACGATGTGGCCGCTGTTGGCATTTACAGAAAATGAAGTATATACTATGACGGCTAACTTAAAATTTCTCAACGAACACACCATTAAAAGCTAAACATTTTATTTATTTATTTATTTATTTATTTATTTATTTTATTTATTTATATACAAGAAGGTACATTGGGTTAGAGCGAATACATAGCATAGTATTTACAATCCTGTAAAGCCACTAGTACGCGCAGCGTTTCGGGCAGGTCCTTAATCTAACAGATAATTTTAAGTAGGTAAATTCTAGCAGAATTTCGCTTATTGAAGACAATAGCACAAGATACAGTATTGTACATAACATTTTATATAATATAAAACAACCACATGGTTAAATGATTGTGCATGTATCTGATGGCGAAACAAATGCATCTCTGCAGTTGATCACCGGACGTAAACAAAGTGTGACCTCCTTCCAGGTCACTGTACTGAAGGTAGGTACTGACCAGCCTGGATGACCAGGTGTAGTCCCACACCACTAACTGGCCAGCCTTGTTGACCAGACCACACACTAGAAGTTGAAGGGACGACGACGTTTCGGTCCGTCCTGGACCATTCTCAAGTCGATCGACTTGAGAATGGTCCAGGACGGACCGAAACGTCGTCGTCCCTTCAACTTCTAGCTGTATGTGGTCTGGTCAACATACTTCAGCCACGTTATTGTGACTCATCGCCTGCCATCCTTCCACGGGTAACAAGGTGACCCTGTCTGGGTCACCAGATGTTACAAGGAAATTGAAATAAGTTTATTGAGGTAAAATACACACAAAGGGATGAGGTCGCTCAAGCTATTCTCACCCCGTTCAGTACATCGTGTTAATACTTACATAGACACACATCACAAGCAATAAACATATTACCGAACATTCTGGGAGATAAACGTATACATTTCCTATGTTACAAGGCCATTGGTTCATTATGGTACACCAACATCCACAGATACCATTGTTACATGGACCACTCTTGGCATAAATTCACAGTCATGAGTTTGTCATTTTACATACTAAGCCACAGACCCCTTTGTGGGGTCACTAATAGGGAATCATGGTCTGGTCGTTGGGTCTGTAGAACTATGGTTCTCTTTGTGCTAGGCTGTGGCTAGGGTCCTTAAGATGGTGTCATTGACTTCTCCGTGTCTTGCAGTCTTACCCTGTGATTTACGACATGTCAGACCGTATTGGTCTGCCAACGCACTTCTGCAGATGCACTTGTGTTCAGTGAGGACACAGGCAAAGGGCTACTCCTGTATGAAGAACGTTGTGATATAGGGAAGTTCCCAAGACTAAGTTGAATACAGCAAATAGAAAATCCCCAACATGGGGTACTGTTACCACTAGAAGGCGGGCCTTTTCTCAACAGAAAAGATGCATTAAGGGGATGCATTTTCAAGCATTACTAGAGCATTTTTTTCCACTATGGAACTATCTCATTGAGCCTGACAGTGGTCTTTCGGGGCTGGTGGTCGGGATAAGGGGTGTGCAATGGTTTCCCACTGACTCCTTCAATGAACTTCGGATCGTGAGCTTTTACAGAGTCTGTCATACGCTCTGGGATGATCTTCTCTACGAATTCACTGTCAGTGATGCACGAGTTGTTGTTGTTATAGATTCAGCTACTCGGAACAAGTTCCAAGTAGCACGGGCTATGGTGAGCCCGTAACTTACCTGGCACAGGAGTGGCGCAAGTAGCACGGGCTATGGTGAGCCCGTAGTGGACTTACCTGGCACAGGAGCCGTGCTGTGTCTATGTATGGAGTTGCACAAGAATAATAAAATGCTGATAGTGCTACCTCCGTTACATTGCGCGGGACATTGCGTACGTTCATCAAGCAACATTTTACGATGATGAACGTTCATCATTTTACACGTTCATCATATGGTTGTGAAATTATTTTTTGATGAACAATGGGAATCTAAATACAGAAAAGTATATGCTTTTCAGCGGCTGATCTACAAATCTCACTTAAGAACTTACAGTCTATCAAAATATAATGACCTCTCAGCTATTGCAAACTTCATTAACCCGGATCACAGATAATTAAGGAATATATATACACCGAGAAGTGTACTTGCTTCTCGGTGTATATTTACACTTCAGAATGCGCTTCAGTCCTGGGCGGACTATGATCAGGACTAAAGTATACTTATTAGTGGACAAGTAACTTATGATAACCTTAATAACCCTTCTTTTGATAGGCTGAGCACCAGGCCAAACAGGTCAGAGTATCATCTGTGGTAAAGATAACATGATGTTAAAGATAACATGAGTATACTCTATACTCTAATCTCAATTAGTATTAAGTTTTAGTCTTTAGTGTTTTTCCTGCCCGAAACGCTTTGCGTAATAGTGGCTTTAGGCATTGTATGTACTAGTTCTATCTATAAATTCATCAATGTTTGTATCACACCTTGTATGTACTTTACCTGAATAAACATTTGAATTTGAATTTTTGAATTTTGAATGTAAGTAAACATTAAACATTACGTCATGACTTGCTCAAACAAGCATCCTCAAAGTGCATTAGGGTATATCTGTAAAATTAGAGACATTACGAAGGCACTTTGGTTGACTTTAGAGCATTATAAACATACTGTACTTCATTATATGGTATTTTATTGGTAAATTAAGAGCCTGTCTGTGCAAAGAGACTTCTCATATATGTTTACCGAATGTTGACACAGTGGTTTAACGTGCTGGACTTCAGCTCCCAGGCCCCAGCCCCAATTGCGCTAATACTGTGTCTCCTGTATGTTAATGTTGTACCTGGTAGCAGATTCACACTAGTAAATAGGGATTATTTTGCCTTTTATTATATTTTTTACCTAAAATTGTCTGCACTTAATGAAATTAATAGTTATTAATTTGGCGTAGTTTTTACTAAATTAGAAATACTGACTAATGCTTGTAAGGTTTAAGCCAACGAATTAAGCCTTCCCCACGATGCCACCCACAACAGTGGCCTAAATCATGTGTGCATATTTACTGCAAAGTGAACAGGCACATTATATATTTATGAAAGAGTTCCTGTAAAGCCTAGCACACATAGCGTTTCGGGCAGGGCCTAAGCTATAATTTTCCCCGGAATACGACCCGCCAACTCGTTTAACAACCAGGGGCCAGATTCACGAAGCAGTTACGCAAGTACTTACGAACGTGTACACCTTTCAGCAATCTTTGAAGCCTTTGGTTACATTTATTATACAGTTTACAACCATGAAAAAATTCCCAATCAACTGTTGTTACTGTTATAAACAGCCTCCTTGTGCTTCGGAGCTCATTAACTGTTAAATAATTGTAAACAAAGCCGCCAAAGATTGAGACAAGATGTAAAGATTCGTAAGTGCATGCGTAACTGCTACGTGAATCTTGTCCCAGGTACCCATTCACTGCTGGGTGAACAGAGGCTACAGTTTAGGAA